AAGAAGTTGTATCTCTAAATAATAATTTCCTATAAGTACAAAAAAAAAGAGTCAAAATTAGATCTATTTGGCACCGCTGTCAAAGGAAAACACAAACTAATATAAAGTAGTTTATGAGTGATTATAAATAATTATAGTTAATGTACAATACTTGCAAATAAATATCCAACTTCTTGTTGTACCCATTTCTACGGCATGATACCATAGCATGATAAAAGCATTATTAATCTATGGTTTTATTTTACTCTACAATATTTATTTCTGATAACAGGGTACTTAGAACCAAATAGAATGGGGGTTTGAAATAAAATAAAAACACCTAAGCACAAATTTTCATGATTTCTCTGAATTTTAAACTGTCCAGGTGACTTAATAGCACTGCAGGAACATTTAATTTGTATTCTTTTACATATAAAGTTGTTGGGCAATAGTGCAATAGCTACTGTTTCTCTCCTCCGCCTCTCACCCCCTAAAGCAGTTATAAAATAATTATTAAAATGCAGCAGATAATAATCCAAATATTGTAATATGCCACTATATAGAAACTGCATCAGTAAAGTTTCAGGCCCTCCAAACATTTCTCTAGTTCCCTGGCTTTGACTAACGTCATAGTGCCTTTTGAATTCATGCTGTAGTGTAAATTGTCTCCCCTTCTGCGTGCAGATTTTCCCTTCCAGGTTAGTTCATTTCAAATTGGATTACATAGGTAAAAGTGAGAATACACAGAGTGAAGCATTAAGGCCCTCTGGTGAAAAATCAGACAGAAGGAAGTGGGCATAGTTAGCTTTATATTTAACTGTATTCATCCTGTCTGATCTATTTAAACATGCGAGGTTCCTTACAGAAGACCTGTCTTTCTAGCATGTAATAGAAATTTGCACAGATATGTCTGATTAGTATATTAAAATCTTGATCTTAACTGTTTCTTACTTTTTAAAAACAGTTAAATATTCAGCTAAGGGACAGGGAAAAAAATAAACATATCATCAATCCTTCTGTATATTCTTTTGATGTCTTAGAAGGTAATTCACTTGATTTTTTGAGGCAGCTTCTGTACTGCATGTGGAGACAGATTATGTACAAACTGTAGTTAGTTTTGGCATACAAAATACTTGAGCAAGCAAAGATTCCTGGAATTAGAAAAAAAAAATTCCAGTAAAACAAAGATTGAACTCTCAAAAGTTCAGGTTCTACCTAACTAAACATAACTAATCATCAGAGATTACATATTTACATGTTTAAAATCACACTTCTGTTTTTCACGAGTTTGTAGTACATTTGCTGACACTGCTTTTGCTTTAGCAGACTAAATGTTTTATGGTGTGTGTGTGTGTATATATATTTATATATATATACACAAATGTAAATATCCCCTTTATTAAGCCAGTGTTGTTATGATGTAATTGCTATCTTAAATCCACAATGAAAAGAGAACATGTCAGAATTACAGAAATCTAAAATTGGTGTAGGAGGAGGTGAATTTGGCCTTTTATTTTTATTAGGCATTTTCTGTGTATTTATTATTATAGCTGTTTATTTTCTCCACAAAGACAAGCTAGTATAAGCATTGCTTTTGCTGAATGCTGCTTTCCTGATTGATGTTTGTTCAAGGAAAACCAAGCATACTGTTCTTTCATAGTATGAAAGAGAAGGAGAAAGTAAACAAGAAGAAGGAGATAGGAATGTCACCATAAAATACCAAAATAGAAAAAAAGATGAAGTTTGAGGTCACTGTGTTGGGAAACAGGAGAAAGCAGAACACGAACATGTGCTGACTCTTGGTACGTGTAGTATTGATGCATCTTTTAAAAATAATGTCAATGTGGTTACTATTATTAACATAAATAACTAGGTTTCAATAAAAGATGTCAGTAAGTTGTGGGGAATTAAATAACTAATTCACATGGACATGCCTTACTGGAGAACCAGTAAATTTCTATGGCACTCTATGCAGCATAATCAGGTAGGAACATGCTATAGAAACAGACTAATGTTTATTTGGATGTACAGAAGAGATTAAAGTGTAATCTCTACAGTTTATACTTCACTAGTAGCACAAATTATACTTAACAAATTATACTTGAGATGAAGATATAATCCCCAAGAGGGGGGGGAGTATTATTTCATTTGGAATTCTCATAAAGCTATCTCTCAAGATCATTTTTTTTCGGCAAAATTGTTATCCCTTGCTCTAGTGAAAACGAAAGGCAGAACAACAAAACAAGTACTGAAACTAAGACTTGGTAAACTATTTTTGGCTTTGCTTTCAGGGTTAGGGACTCAGTTACAATCTGATAGAACTGCAGATGAGGTGCAAGTAATTTCAAACAAGTAAATCAATTCTTCAAGAAGTTCTAAGAATAAATTAATTTCTGCTTCAGAGAAGAATAAAGAGTTTCCATGTCCAATTGACTTTAATATTGGTAACTGAATTTGGGATGCTCTGGCTTCATGCCCACTGAGTTCAACAAAAGGCAGTTTGGATCCATAACATTCTGACTCAGGCTCAAAATGATTTTGATGGCTTTAAAGAATATACATATATAGGAATATACAGGAGTACAGCTCATAAAATATAATTGGGCTCATTCAATTCAATGCACCTTTTGTTATTCACTTAAAAAAAGGTTGGAAGGGTTCATGTTATATCCAGAATGTATTTTCAGTTCAGTTAATGTATGGTTTGGTGGGATGTAAAGAGAATACATGAAGAATAATATTAATGAAGTATCTCCATTAAGCTGGGAGTTTTCCTAAAAGTAAGTTTCTAAAGATTTTACTCAAAGTTCATGAAAGAATAAATGAAGAAACAAGCTTAATTCCTTGAATATGTTTAAAAAAAAAAAAGCAACCCAAAAAATAAAAAACCCTAAATAAACCCACAAAACTCTGGGATAACAGAATTTTAACTCATTCTCTCAGATACAGAAATTAGAACCTACCCTTCTGCTTATGGAAGCACCATACACCAACAGTAGGACAAAATGCATTCTAGAAATGATAGGATTATGCTTCAATACAAACTAATTTGCAGATAATAAACACACTTAGCATGTTATGGCCATATCCTTGTCTCTGTGTAACTGTTGCTTTCCTGGCTGTTGTGACCTTAATTCTTGAAATCAAGTTTATGTTTCAGAGATGTACCCACAGGCAAAGCGTAGAAAACATACCAGAGAGATTAGGATTAAAAACATCAAAAGATTTGAAATCCTTCATAGCTCTGTTATTACATGTAACTTACATGAATAACTACAATAAAATAGCTTATTTCTTCATACATCTTCTACAGCTTACTCCATCATTTCAAATTAACACTGAAATAGGAGATAGATGAGACACTTCCATGCCTGAGACCAAAAGAAAGTGTTCATCATTAGCATATTTCTGGACAGTTCCTCCATTAATACTTAAAGGTACAAAAATTTTTTTTCAAGAAGAAAAGGGAAAGAGATAACTGTGAACATAGGAAAATTATGGAAGACCTAGATTACTACTCCAGTGAAAAACGTGTAGCAACTTGGAAAGGAACATAAAATTATCAATTCTGACTGAAGGATGAAACTTATGCAAACAGAAAAAAAAAAAAAAAAACCCGCACCCTTTTTAGAACATTTTAAGAAGTGTGAAAACTACAAATGCTAGAACTGTGAAAAGGAAACTGGGAATTTGATCCATATGTTCTGGAAATGCCACTGCCCACTACTGAATTATTTTTGGAGAACAGAACAGAGAACAGAAGAACAACCAAAAAGCTGTTATAAACACAGGGTCTCCCTGGTGATGCAAAATTTTTACCATGGCAGATATTAATGAGTGACTCTTACCATCTGGATAGGATATATGAAGAAATTATCTTAGATATGTTCTAGAATAATTACCAAGGAATATGGTATTATTTGCCAATTAGATTTCTAATTGTGTGAGGATAAATAATTCAACTAGCTTCAAGGGGAAAAAAAGCAACGCTATTCAGACCGGTTCACACATCAATTTTCTTCATATGGGTGAATACAGTTTAAAAGCTGGATTGGATTTAGTCTAAACGATTCTACTCTCTTACAGAAAATCATATTTTAAGCTCTTTATCACGGTATATTTTTCCAAACTGAAATATTTTTAAAGCATGAAACATAAGAAACAGCAGTAAGACCTTTGTATAGCTTCTGCCACTGCTTCTCACAACCTAAACAGCACTAATTTACCCTAATCATACTGATTACAAGTGAAATAAATACCAAGCAGCATACTACTATTTACTTCTTACCAGAAACGTGTAACTGGGAGGAACCAACATAATATGTTCAGCTGGAGAAACAATCAAGTATTTTATTTCTATGCTATATGTTTAGCAAACAGAAACTTCATACCAGTTGACAATTTCTACCTGAAGGCTGACCATGATGCTGGGCATGTACTTCTGTGACAGCTGGATAGCCTTTAGTTCTCACATTTGGTTTATTCCAGACAGTTAGTAACCATAGGTACTAACAGTATTAAATGAACTAGTGTTCATGCTAATAGCTCTTGCCATACAAAGCAATATAGACCAATATAGAGAGCAACAGATATAAAGAAAGTATTATGTGCATTTTCTTCACTATAACAGTAAAGTCTCCCTGAAAAGTTAAGATACATTAAAAAAAACCTGAATGGTGGCAACTGTATACCATCTGTCTTGTTCTGGTTTAGAAAGGAATTGCATCAGTCCATGATGTTCCTTATAACACTTCTCCCTCGTCACTAAGAAAAATCTAGTAGCAAAGTTCTCAATACCACACGGAAATATTGAAAAAAATGAGATTATTAGACATGATGTAAAAATATATATTAATAACACTTCTAGTTTGATACTCATTTTTCCTAGAAATGTCTTTCCTAAGCAATGTATCCATTCTAAAAGAAGTAATTCTTTGCATATACAATATAATCATCAAACTTGAACTGAACCTAAGTGCAGTTTTTATTTTTCGTGTCTTTATTCATTCTTTTCTACATAGTATTTGTGGAATTCAACATCTGGAACGAGCAGGAAACAAGTTGACTCTCTTTGACTCCCTTTATTTCTGCATAGTGACATTTTCCACGGTGGGCTTTGGGGATGTTACACCCAAGATATGGCCTTCAAAACTGCTTGTTGTCATTATGATCTGTGTTGCACTTGTGGTGTTGCCCATACAGGTAAACATGGATATATTTTTTTAATTTTCTCTATAGAATTGTTTTTAAAACAAAACTATAACCCCTCCAAAACATCCTTTTGCAATGCATATAAAATATCAGAAATAATAACCATCTTCTGTACCCTCTAGTCTTTTCCTAAAATTTTCCTGTTTATCTTTGTTTAGATTAAATGTACAATAAAAATATAATACAAATTTATAATAAAATATTTAACACTGAAGCCAGCTTTCAATCTCTGGTGAAAGATTTCTGTTTCTGTCACGTATCACAGAGCCCTTCTCTTTATCCTAGGTAATTTGAAAAATGCAGAAAACAACAAAACAAAAACAAAAAACAAATCAACCACAATAAAAAAACGAATACCCTGCACTTTATGAGTACAGCATTTCCTCTGCAGGCTTTCCCTGTTTCTAATCTTGATTCTCTCCACTTCCTCTCATGTTCTCACAGTTCAGTGCAAACTTAAAAAAAGAACTCATTAAATCTGCAACTCAAGCAAATTGTCTTCACATCTGTGTGTGTTGGCACACACTGATCCAAGTGCACATTTAGGAATTTTTGGTGCCTATATGAGCTTAGGTTGATTTATGAAAATCCAAGTATTTCATGTAATCAATCAGTTTCCATAAATTTGTACTAGACATTTGTCAGCTCATTAGCAAAGACCTGATGACTGACGCTCTCTGACTACAGGGCAGCCGTGTCACAACACTAAATATCTTGTTCTTGGTGATGATCCAAAACTCACGGGCACAAAAAGGAAGTGTGGGGAGACATCATGCATGCTTACTGAATCTTACAGCAGACCCAGATGCTAGGCCTTAAAGCTCCCAAATTTCTCATACAGCTTTGATTTCCGCATTCTACTTCTTTGATTGTGAACTAAGCCTCAACTCTGAGCAGACAATATAGAAACCCTGTGAGACTTGAAGCTCAAGCTGTCAGCATTAATTTCCTTGAAATTACCTGAACATTTAAATTATAGCCAAATATTTAATGCCTGCATATGCAAACATATGCACTAATATAATTGTATTCCCACTCAATGACAGTCTAATAAAATATATGATCTGCTTGAAATAAAATATAGTTTAAGAAATTTGGAATTTCCACAGAAATACAAATTTCATTTTTCAAGTACTTCTAATATAAAGACCAAATCTATGCATTACCTGTAAATAATCTGGAATCTATTGCTCTTTCACATCAATCTAAGTATTATTCACTATTTTATTTCCACATTTTTGTAGTGATGAAGAGGCTTTATAGTTTTCTACACGCAGAATGAGGGAGACATTATCTAGAATCACAAAAGCGTAGAATATCCTGAGTTGGAAAGTCTCAAAAGGATCACCAAGTCCAATACCTGGCTCCAGACAGGACCACCCAACATCCAAACCCTATGTCTAACAGTGCTGTCCAAATGCTCTGTGAGCTCCAGCACCTGGGGGCTATGATCAGTGCCCTGGGCAACTTGCTGTCTGCTGTCCATGCCTGCTGTCCTCTAGGGAAGAATCTTCCCCTAATCCTCACCTGTCTCTCCTTATGACACTGCTCCATGCTGTTCCCTCTGGCACTGTCGCTGTTATCAGAGAGCAGAGCTCCCCACCAAGGATTAGCCTGATCTAACCCCATTTACTATAAACTCTTGAGCTTTGTCTTTCTACTGTATTAAGTGAATTATTATTCACAATAAAAATTGCGAGAAAAAGCTGTTACCGCAATAGATATATAGTTAAATTGATCTCAGGATTAAATGCATATTACAAAACACTTTGGTACTTATGAATTATATTAAGGCACGGATTATTACAGTATTGTCTTTAGTTTAAAAGATTCTGATTAGTGGAGCAATATTTTATATTCATAATAATTCTGTCATAATTCCTAGCTTACACACTAGGCTTCCCTTTCATTAGAGTACAAAACAGATTTTACTGTTAGACTGCTTACATCATTCAGATGGCAAATGGAAAAATGCAAAATTAACAGCTCCCATGAATGTAAGTGGTATATATATGTATAAGTCATATTAGTGAGTACACAGATTGGATGGTAACACACAGATACAATCACCTTCAGAGTACTATGAAATTTCTGAAGATGGTCATTGCCCAAAGTAAAATAGTGCTTCTAAGTATTTATACTCATATTAACCTAAGCATATAAAAACTTAACTTTTCGTTTGAGGGAAGCATTTAGATCACAGGGCACTGGAAAAACAGCTCAGAGATGTGAAATATGTGAACAAGATAGCAAACAACACAGTCATCACTTTTTTCTAAAATTTTAGGGCTGGGTGTAGTCACATGATATTTTAATGAAGTTATTCAGCTATTTGCAATAGAGACTGGCCATACTTCCACATTTTTCTGTAAACCTACTATCAATCTAACCCATACTCCAAGAACTTTTCGCAAAGAAAAATACATTTGGCGCTAACAGCATCATTCAATAAAAGCATGATCTGAACAATGCACTGTATGTAAGGGGTACACTTTTACTGCACAGCTGTTTGACTGTATTTAACTGACACATATCTATTACAGTTTGAACAGCTGGCGTATTTGTGGATGGAGAGACAGAAGTCCGGAGGCAACTACAGTCGACACAGAGCTCAGACGGAAAAACATGTTGTGCTGTGCGTCAGCTCTCTGAAGATTGATCTACTTATGGATTTTTTAAATGAATTCTATGCTCACCCTAGGCTGCAGGTATTTGTAGTGAAAGAAAAAAGAAAAGAATCTCATAACACTGATTTTTGGAGTGTTCTGGAGTCACTTTTGAATTGCAAAGCTGAATTTAAAAATAGTTGGCTAAACTGAGAATCTAGAATTGCAATAAGAAGTTGAGTTGTTGAGAAATGGAATATGGAGACATTTGTTTTGAATTGAGGTAAAATGAACTGAATTATTGTCTTGTTGAATTATGCTAGTCCTTTTAGAAACAGACATTCCCATGCAGCTTCCTTTTCTTCTTCTTTTTTTCCTACTCAAAGAAGGAAAGGAATGGAAACTTGAATTTTTTTTTTAAAGATACTTTTGAAGAAGGAAAAAATAGAAGCAAAGACCTTTTAAGGTGGTTACAAAGTCTTTCTCATTGTACACATTCAATACTTAATGCAGATGTCACATAACTTGTTCCAATCATATAAAAGATTATTTATATGAGGTAGCAATTTGGATTCATCATCATTAGCTTTTCTATAAACCATTTATTTTAAAAAATCTTCTCTGCCAATGTCTTTTACCATTACCTATGGCACCACACTTAATTATGCAATGAAAAACCCCCACAAAATGTCTGAGCAGCAGCATGACAAATACCAAATGCAAAATATTCTCCAAATTAATCAGATAGTAAGAAGTCTAAGCAAACGTACAGACAAATCTAGTATTTCACAGATTTATAATTGGTCAGTCTTTGTGATACAGATGAAGTAAGAGAAGTCCTAATACTACTTATGTAGCATGAAGGAAATTATATACATTCCCTTCACAACTGAAGTGGGAAGCTGGAGGATACAGATGATGCTGGAAGTAAGCTTCCAGCAGAGGACTGTGTGTGATAAGGAAGACTTCATATCGAGACAGTCCTAACCTTGTCTCTCCTTCTCATACACACACGCATATACATGTCAGGGTGACCTTATTTCTAATAGAGATTGTCTGTACAGGTAGTAAAAATTGGATCTGCCCATTAATGCAGAGGAAAGATTTCAAGGAGTAATAGAGATGGTGAAAATAACTGTTTTAATTGTGGAAAGCTTCCTATATTTTCCAGCTGTAATGACAGAAAAGTGAACTGTGTCTAAAAAATTTATGCTTTCATAGAAACAAAAAAGTAATAGGATTATTCTATTGGTCACCTTAACCTCTTGTATGAGTATTCTTGCCATTTTCATTTAGGAATGACTCCATATTTTAAACATTTGTATTCAAATTACTTTTGTCAGTGAAATTTGAGAACTATCACAGAAGTTTAATATATCCTTGGTCTGTTGATTCATCTCCTGGCAACAACAAATGGTATCATCAAATAATAACATGATTATTCCTCATTATGTTTTTGGCAGGACTATTATGTTGTTATTTTGTGTCCTACTGAAATGGATGCTCAGGTCCGGAGAGTGTTACAAATCCCGATGTGGTCTCAAAGAGTTATCTATCTCCAAGGCTCAGCACTAAAAGATCAAGACCTGCTGAGAGCAAAGTAGGCAAATATAGCTAACGCTTATTTACTACCTTGTTTCACATATCCTCTTTGATAAAGAAGTTTGACAAACAACAACAGCTAGAAGGAAAGTATGCTTATTTAGAATACAGGGATCTTAGTTATATTTGTTTTTTTTCCTTAAGTCTGAAAATTTTCAAGGAACATATCTGTAAGTTCCTCATTTGACCAATCTTTGAATCACTATTTTTTTATTTTTATTTTTTTAAGGTGTTGAAACAGAGTGCCTATCATTTCTTTAGCAAAAGCTGTGTTGAAAATTCTGAAACTGCCAATAATGCTAGAATTTTTGTTATTTGTGCATAGATAGTAAGCCAACTGAAGGGGAGAAAAAGTGAACAAAAGTAATTATCACCCTTTGAATGCTTTGTACAGTCTTGTTTTCTTAATAAGTTCATCCTGGTAACATAAGCAGTGACTCTACTTTACCTCTATGTACTCTTCCCTCAGGATCTTGCTCTTAGCACACGTTTTCTACCACTTCTAAAAAAAACCTCTTTGCCAGTTAATATTGAATGACAGTAATCAAAACATATCCGTCAAACCAGTCAAAGTTTCTAATAAAAAAAAAAGACACCAAAAAAACCCCACAAAGACTACCAAAACCAACCACCATTGCTCAATCACTTAAAGGTGGGAAAGAATTCACAGTGGAATTTGTGTAGGAGGGTAGTCTCTTCAGACTCCAAAGAGAAAGGTGATTCTTTTCAAATAACTGTTTTAATTTATCTGCACTGCTTTTTATAAGAATGTAACTGTCTTCACTTAAATTAATCAACTAATATAGATATCTAAAATCAAGCCAATACGTCAGTACTTGTGTCATTCAGCCTTCTAAAGAATTATTCTGAAGAATCTCATCTGTGAGAAGTCTAGCAAGCAGTGCTATCTTCAAATTTCTGCTACTGAACAAAATAGCTACCTTTTCATAACTACCTTACTTGAAAATGCAGAAAATCTTTGTTCAGGATTATGAACTTCTTTCAAAAAGCGGTTCCTTTTTTTTTTTTTTTCTTCACTTTGTTGCTCATTTTCAAGGACGAATTCATAGGGGAATTTGGCTAACGTTTGTTCTACACATTAAGAAAAATTAGACTGTTCCCTACAGATAATAATGAATTTCACTTATAATAACCTGGAGGTACTCAATGAAGTACCTGTTTCCTGCAGAACATGTAATTGAATGTACCTGTCACAGAATAATTTTCCACCTCTCCTGAGGGAAAAAGCACAGTGGGAACTTAATAGGATGTTTAATTTGATCTGTAAACCAGTAACCAGTACCTGAGATGTTTTCTATATTCTTTTCAATGAGAATATAGTGTACTGAGAAGATAGCAATATGCACGGTAAACAATTTCTAACAAATAAAATTATAGAATGGTTTGTGTTAGAAAGGACCTTGAAGATCATCTAGTCCCAAGCCCATGCTATAGGCAGTGATGCCTCCCACCAGACCATGTCACTCACAGCCTCATCCAGCTTGGCCTTGGATGCCTCCACAACCTCCTTGGGCAATCCTCACAGTAAAGAATTTTTTCCCAATATCTATTCTAAATCTACCTTCTTCCAGATCAACACCATTTCCCCTCATTCTGTTGCTACCCGCCCTTAGAAAAAAGTCTCTCACTAAACAAAATAATGTTTAACACCACAAAAAAAATAATAATTAAAAAAAAAATCAAGAAGTGTCTTTTTATTTATCAAAATTTATACATATATTATAGATGAATTGCAATGCCAAAATATCATGATAAAGGTCATGCTACAAAAGGAAGGAAGGGAATAGCAAAAATTGATGTACTGCATATTTAGTAAATAGTTAACTGAGAGTTGTATTTTCCTATGTCCCAGTACACCATCGGACTACAAAAATGATACTCATTCTTGCTTCCTACCTTTGAAAGTTTCACTTTGCAATTTTTGGTTGTTCGCTGGGAAAACAAGAAAAAACAGTGTCGTGGTTTAACAACACTGCTACATCTATTGGGCATCAGTACAATTAGAACTTTTATATCTATACAGTAACTGACAAAAAACTCTTGTTCTTCAGGAAGACTACTGCTAGAAAGTAACTTTATATTTCCTTGCTCTACAGATTTCTCCCATGCTGTTAAAAACAGTTTTTCTCTTCTTACAGTTTTCTACTTCAGTGAACCCAGCACACATCTTAATTCTCTTCTTATCCACTCTTCCTTTACTTTAAGCTTCTTTTTTATTATTGTTTTCATGAATTTATTTCAATATTTCAGTGTATCAAGTCACTTCAAATTCTTCCATTCTCAAGCAGTAGAACAATATTATTTTTCAGATTTAATGGCATAAAAATTTACAAAGCTTTTCTTGTTATTAGAAAATTAATAGAATTGTCAGAATATTCTGGGTTCTAATATAGCATAGATGTTATTAGTGTTTCAGTTGTCTAAATTCATGGTATCTATTGAATGTTAGCATCAGTGGAATTATCCTTGCCAACTGTGGCTGAAGTGATTCAAGAAGCTTCTAAAAAGCACTGGAGAAAAAGGTGAATATGATCAATGAGATTTCATTTCCTCAAAAAATCATCTGTATATTGACCCTACTTATCATCTCTTCAAATGCTGCTCCATCGCTAATTTCACTGAATTTTCCTTCCTAAATTTTTTTTTTAAAGACCTTACCACTTCTGCTCTCATGCTTATCTGAAACTAGAAACTACTCATATAGAATTGCCCATTCTTCTCTGTGTAAGTTGCACTTGACATTACTATTTTAGAAATACACAGTTGCTTTTGTCACTTTTTTTTTTTTATTATTTTTGCATTTCAAGTACTGAGGCTTCTCCTGTTTTTCCTACTGTTTGCTGCCTAGGGGACAATATATAATTATCTTATCCTTCTTTTCCATTTATATTTTCTCTGAATGATCACACATGAAACACATAAATTCACTATTTCTATAGTCATAAACTAAAAGGTTATTACTCAGTTTATCTGGCTTCTCAATATGGATATCTATTCATCAAGTTTAGTTGCAGGTTGTTAAAAATGCATCTTAAGTTTTGCTGCTCAAATAAAACCAGTAAAATATTGTAGATCGTATGTTTGAGATCATCTTGTAGAGCATCCTATGTAGACTAAATTCAAACGTTGCCAGTATTTTCTTACACAAGCTCTTATTTTTATCTCACTAAAACAATGCTTAGGTTTTTAATGTATATCATCTCAATTCTTTCCAAACACTTTGGAAATATTATTTACATAGTCTTTCACTTCACCCCTTATTGCAGTCCTTCTCTGGCTTACCCTTCTTTCTCATCAAGGAATGACCTTTTATTCTCACTTAGCCTACAACTCCAAGTTCTTAACGAGAGGAAACCTGACAAGCCTATAAAACTGCTCTCTTACACATACAACAGATTAGTATTCAAATCCCCTTGTGACTTCACCTACACTGTACCTTCAAGTTAGAATTCAAGCTATTAATTCACCTTTTTATACTCGGGGCTGATAAAAACTTAATTTGCAAAGTAATTGTGCTGGAGGCCACCTTGCTTTTCTTACTTTGGCACAGCTTCTATTGGAACAAAGGGAAGAAAATTTCCTAGAACCTAGCCAAGAAGTACTGGCATACTGTGATTAAGTACACAGAGGAGTGTTGTTGACGTTCACATAATGCATGAAAGCAGATAGACTTCTCTGTATTCAGTATCTACAGTCACATAAGACCATAAAATGTGAAACATGAATCAACAAAAGGTCGTGGGGTTTTTTTGTATGTAACAAGGTTTTCTCCCTCATTTTTCTAGAATGGATGATGCTGAAGCTTGTTTCATTCTAAGTAGCCGCTGTGAGGTGGACAGAACAGCAGCTGTAAGTTCTGAAGAAATAACCAAGAATGAATGTTTATACTGATGTTTATACTGATGTTGTACCCTCAGATTTCTAAGAGCACAAGATTAAAGTAAGCTGATTCAAGACACAAATTTTCCATAAATTGAATTAACTTCAAATATTTCGTAAAACTTCAGTAAATACTACTATTTGAATGAGTTAAAACTTTTCCAGTCAGGGAATGTTTGTTGGAATCTTGTCAATTCATAAAAATTGTTTCTAGGAAAACCATCAGTTTCAAAACTCTGAAGAAAGCCTTGGGATTTGCTAGAGATCTCAGACCTTTAAGTGCTTTAAGTTCTATAACAAAGCCTGCCATTAGAGGTCCCTGGAGCTGGAAGCAACAGGATTTCGAGCTTCCATTTATCAGCCTTAGATCCTGATAGCTCATGTCTCAACTCTCAAGTCTGTCAAAAGCATGGGAGCCTAGAAATCTCAGAACGTTAAAATTCAAATAAGTCTTCCAGTCTGTGGTTCCAAAGGAGAATGACATAAGTCAAGCATCTGAGCTGTAACAGTGAGACTCCTGGGATCAGTATAATTTGAAGATTCTCAATAAGATTTCACCTCCATCCCTGTTTTTGTTGCTTAGATTTCCTTTGCACAAGGAATATAGGGCAAGTTTGTTTCTATTTTTTTTGTTTGTTTGTTTGTTTTCCTTTACTGCCTCCTAAACCTCTGAAAGGAAATAGAATTTCCTATACTGTTCCAGCACTAGGCACTACTAAGTACTTCAACAATACACACAAGGCTACAGCTTGTCACTGAACTGACAGTTTCCATCTTTGTCCAGGTCAGTGTTAGTCTACAACAGTCTATAGCTGATTTTTTAATCCTGCCGAGCTTGAGAAATGCATTGGATTCTCTCCTACTTGTGACAGCTGTCAAAAATTAACAGATGTGTTGAGGACATCTCTTACCAGTTGTTGTTAGAAGCAATTTTTCAAAGGCAGAGAGGATTTTTATCTCTCCATCTATGGTACTCAGCAGAGGATCTACTCATTTGTCATAGGTGCTACCAGCAGTTTTGATAGATGCTTGTTTTACTTGCTATTCTGTTAATTAAATTCTGTTGCCTAAATTTGTGTTGCTTTTGATCACGGGTATCAACAATAGTTCAGAAATTCAATAACAGGTGTCAGACAGTTACTTCATAAATATTGCTTCCTTTTTCACTTAGAGAAGTAGGGACTTGAGTAGTCAGACCAAGAATTTTTCAGCTTTCCAAAATCTCCTACCAGAAATTCTCTCTTCTCTAGCAAGACAAAGCTTTGCCAAATTTTACAATATCAAATGCAATTCTGACACTGAGACCAAGAAGTAAGCTGCTTTTCTGCTATATAACACAAGACAGACATCTGTTTCACTAGTAGGATTCAACTATGCGACTCCTAAACGGAATTCAAATTGCACTTATGTGTAGATGACAATTTGTTGTGTTTTTTGTTGTTGTTGGTTTTTTTTTGTTTGTTTGTTTGTTTTTGTTTTTTATTGATGGTTTAGAGATGTAGTCCTTGTGCCAGACCGTGAAATTAGTCAGCACGTTTAGTGGGCTGCCTGTATTTGGTCCATAATACACTTTCCTGAAACATTGCTTCTACTGGTCTAATCTAGTGAGTGATGGGAACTTCCTTTGAACTATTCTATAGATAACTTCTTAGTAGGCACTATAAATATATGAAAGATGGCTTCTGCCAAAATCCTGCTTCTGACCCTTTCAGAAAATTCAGAGATGGTTGAGTTGAAGCTTAAACTTTTTTCCTTCCTTTAATCAAATTGCATGAGATAATTATACCGTTAATCCAAGTCACAGTGACTTTCAAGTGTCAACACATTAAAATAGGAAAACAAATTTATTTAAAGTCTTGATTTGAGTTCTGAAAATGTAAATTCCTGCTACACTTACTTTAAAATTTGCAGTTTTTGCTACATTAACTGAAATATCACCTCTATATTTACCATCATCAGTATATCTGGTGGTTTTTGATCACTGACTGCAGGCCATTGTGTGACCTGCAAACACACATGGAAGAGAATATATTTTTTCCTTCAACTCCCAAAGAAGCCTATACTTTGTAACGAGGATAGAAGCGTAATTTTGCATTAGCTGCTTCTAGTTATAATACATACATATTTAATGCCTTTTTATGTGCTAAAAATGTCAAAATTTTTCGTCACCACAAACTAGTATATAAGTTACTAGAAATGTAAAAGGGAGAGCCACAAATACTGCACAAATAGATTGAATCTAAGCACTTAAAATTCCTACCTGTATTTTCATTTCTATCCCTGGTCTGCTTCTGTGATGTGAAAGTAACTGGGGAAAAATTCTAATTTTGTGAGAATCCTAAATAACCAGCTTTTGTACACAAACATATGCTTATGACAATGGAAATATTAAGAGCACATGCATACCTAGATGATCTCCTGAAACTGTATAAAGCATTTAAGTACCTACTTTATATATGTTACGCATTTGTAAATTGCTTCAAAAAATAGCAAATGGAGAACAATATATATTTAGCAGTTTTGAAACTGTGAATGTGCCAAATGATTGCGAGTTTTTAAGTATCTTTCCCATTCTTTTATAATTATCTAAAAATATTTTATTTTGAAATCAATCAACACCTACTTCTATAGGTCTAGGTTCAGTAAATTTTTTCTTTCTAATGACATTTGCATTTTAAAAATTGTAGTAAGCTTTATTAATTCTCAACTTCAGAAATTCTTTCACCTTCCAAAAAATAGTAATGCTTTATAGAGAAAATATTTCTAAAAAAATTTCAGAGAATATATGAATAACAATGAGAAGAACAGAGGATGAGTAAACAGGGCTTGAAGCATACAATTAAATGTATTTGGTGGTGCAGCTTTGGTTTATCACAGTAAGTTTAATTTAAGCTCCTTATATAATCCTTAAGAATAAAAACAGTCACCTAAATTTTATTAAATCTAAGCTACATTTCTATTCATTAGTGCACAGGAAATAACTCTTTCTCACCATTTTACAGACCAATGTGTTTTTTGCATGACTACTATCAGAAATGCAGTGGGGAATTTAGTAACCTCAAACTCTGCAATGAGGCTCCATTATCACTGCAGATGACTAGGTTTTCTTGGCACCTTTTGTATAAAATAACAGATAACATATCTACAATATTACAGACATTCAAATCTGTTCCAAATCCACCTCAAAACAACTGGCTTCTGTAGTGTATCTCTGTGACCTCCTTCTGTCCCATTACCTAGCCATTTGCTACTGCTGAGGTATGCTGGCATTTCAGTCCCTTGAAACTAGACAGGAAAAAAAAAATTCAAATGCAAAGGACCTCCGAAAACAAAGCCAACACAATCACTCCCCCTCATAAGAAATCATACATGACAGACAAAGAGAGGAAAACGTGACTTTATAGAAGCAAAGTTTAGAGCATGGTACAGCTGAGTTCTGAAATTTCCTGAATCAATGCAGTAATCCTACATCTTTCATAAAAAGTTAATTTAAAACTCATGAACTAATGCATTTCACCATCCTCAAAAGGTCTTCCTGTTATGATTTCATTCTAGTATTTCTAGTGCAAAAACTACTCACTACCATCTCAAGTGACATTAAAACATCATGGTTTGAAAATGTCAATTAAGTAAAAGGCAAAGATTTTCCCTTGCGTTCATGAGTCTGGAAGCCTTTCTTATGGCAAATGCTGCAAACATAATGAATCATTCTTTACATATTATCTATTCATAGCACCAATTTCATGACTAGGCAAGACATTTCAACTCAAACATTGTTTCCTAAGTGCAGTTCTTAATTACTCCTTTTTAGTTCTGAAATAAATAAAAATTGATCACTAATACATTGAAATTAGCCATACCTCATTAAATTCATTATACGAATTAGTGGATATATTACTGTATACTTTCATGGAGTAGGAATATTATTCCTACCATTAACTCACTCTTGACAGTAATGGATAGAAAAGCCAACACGCTGAAAAATCTTTTATACTCCTATGATCAGTAGCTGACTAAATGTGTGTGCATATTTACATGTGTGTCATATATAAGTAATATTACATGTTATATGGAAGGGGTACATAAATATCCATACCAGATGGTGTTGTACAGTTTTTGAAATGAATTTCCTGCAATACAGACTTGTAAAGCATTATTTTTCTAATGTATCATCGTGATTACACGTGTTTTATTGTTATAATTTCTTACTTTTTATTTTAGGATCATCAAACCATTTTAAGAGCATGGGCTGTTAAAGACTTTGCCCCGAACTGCCCTTTGTATGTCCAAATACTGAAACCTGAGAATAAATTCCACATCAAGTTTGCAGGTAAGTGTGAGAATTCAGCCATTTGAATCGCTTGTTTGTATTTGGCAGCTTGTTTCATGAATGCATAATCAAAGGGAGATTCCCTAAGTGTATTTACTAGTTAGAAGCTCATTAAAAGCTTAACATTTTCAAGTACTATGGGTTAATATATCCTCTCAATAGTAAAATAACATTTCTATATCAGGCTCTTATAAATAAGCATTTGAAGGATACTCATTTCTTATAGCACAGTGTTACTTGATACGTCATACATTGTTACTTCTCAATTATAAATCCAGGTAAGTTTTATCCATGTCTTTAAATCATTTCTGACTTTTATAGCATACTGTTACCAAGGGATATATGAAAAGACCTACTTAGAAAAGGTCAAAATTCATTCGAGAAAAAAGAAATCTTTACACTGGGATGCTTTTCTCTAGCTCATATGAAAAAGTATTTTTTTTTTTCTTTCAAATATTTTGGAAAGAGAAATGTAATTTAGTTCTGTATCCAGTGAAATTCATGTATTGGAAAATAAAAAATGCAAAATGATGTAAGAAATCCAGATAAAACCTCTCTCATAAGAATGGATTACTAGCTCTAAATTCAGAAACTTTCTCAGCACTGTGTAGGTGGAAATCTATGTCTCTCTGTCACATACACGTATATCCACACACACACATATACTTATGTGCAAAATATATGAATACTCTTTACAATAACAGTTCATTCTACTTCTCTCTGGAAAAGTAGCACCATGAAGCAGGAGAAAAGCCTTCCTTTTCAACTGTAATTTTGAAAATTCAGTTTTCTTGAAGGATACTCTAAGCAAGAAGGGACTGCTGATTCATACAGCAAAATTCAAAAAAACTAAATGGACAAATATTAGTCTCCTTCATCATCCCAAGAACGTGATGAAGTAAATTTCAGTACAGAACGAATCCAGAGAAACAGCTAAAGGCTGAAATTTTAAAAGCTACTGCATTTGCCACAAGGTTGGAAAAAGAGGAAAAAGCATAAATAGCAGTCTGAAAGTTATGAAAGTATAATTTTAAACTATGAGATAGCACAGCAGGGAATAAAACTCATGCTGTGACAGGAATGATGCTTTTTCATCTCCCCTTTAGAACCACGTAGCACAAACAATCTCTTCCCTCTACTCTCTCTATTCATGGCCACTTCTCTTTATTAGTAACTGTTAATTTATTGCTACTAGTTGTATTTTTAATAGTTTCATTATTCTGAATCCCTGAATGTCTCTGTAGGGGCAGTGTATACTGTGTATACAATGCTCTGAAATCAATGCTTCCTATTTTGTGATGTTGGCCACAATGTCAGAGGTTGATGTTGGTGGTAGGCAGTAGAGGTTGAACCTTCTTGTCAATATTCCGTAATATTTTGTTGCCGTGTGATAGATGACAGCAGAGGGGCAGTCTGACAGAATTGTGTCCAAAGTGAAAGTTCTTATGAAGCAAAGGTGTGTCACTGAATTCCTCCATATCAACAAACAAACCAACCAAAAAAGCACCCACTGGCATTCACTGACATTTGCTGAACATTTCCAGAGACCAAACAGTGGATGTGAGTACAGAGAGGCAGCAGGTGGTGCATTTCACTAAAGGCAGCAGTAACAGTGGGTCATCTTCTCTAGTGTGCGTTCTCATGGGCGTAGCATGCAGGCACTTGTTCACCACTGTTGGAAATGCACAGTTAATGATTGAAAAAGTGCTTTGTAGCTGAGAATTTGCTCTATCAAATTGATTTATTGTGTTCTTTGTATCTGTTATCATTTCTACAGAAATAAACAGGAAGCATTACTTTCAGAGTGACCTATGTATAACTAGATTTCCAAAACAGAGGGTTTTTTCCCCCTCGTGTGTCCTAAGTCACACTAAGTTTGTCCTAAGAACAAAGCAAAATGAGCAAATTGGAAACAACCCAAAACCAAAACATTTTAATATTTCCCTCCTTCGAGCTTAGTCAATCTTTTATCTCACTGTCTTCATTTATATTCCTTACTTCTTGAAGGTCTTGAGAAAACCTTATGTATTCTCCACCACATTATCCTCCTCTAATATTGATTGTCAAATTACTGAATTGTAGGGCTGAATATTTATAGAGCACCTTACTTCTCAAAATTATTTTGAATGGATCACTGCATCCATTTCCACACAAGCTTGTTGCAAATAGCATTATTTATTTATGTCTTACAGTTTCACCATGCAACACTTTATAGCAGAGAATTACAAGCATTTCTACAAGATTTAATTTATCTTACTGATTACACCAGAAATTTTTAATGCAGTTTTAAATTTGGTCAGGTTACCTGCACAGCATAAACATCATCATTAGATGCTGACCTATCACAAATATTTGCCCACTAATGCTTACAATCATTAGAATAATGTTTGCCTGCAGACTTTTTCCTAGGACGACTTCACTGTGATTACTAATCTTGTTCAATTCTGCTTTGATCTGATATATATGCCCAGTGGAGGCTACAAACTATACTCCTGTCCAGGGTCTTTACAAATAAAATTTGTTGTAACTATATGCAACAATTTTTTAAGTGCTTTTCCTATTATGATTTAGAACTGTTTTATTACTGCCTTAATACAAAAGGCTTCTTTTGAATTTGATATTCCTTTAAAAATGACTCCTTTCTTCTAGAGGTTTCCCAAACCAATACTGTGCATTTTTATGAACGTGAAATACTCAGTATTTCTTCCTTTACTTTTCCATTTTTTATTGTGTGTTTTTGCACACAAGTTTAGAGGCAACAATTCTCAAAAAAAGTCACTGAACTTAAGAAAAAAACCCACAGATTTCAGAAAAGTTCTCCTGACACATTTTATTTTTAACTAAATTGAAAATTTCTAAAACACTACAGCATCTCAGCATCATACTTTAGCCACTAAACCTACATGGCATAAGATAGTACATAGTACTGAAATTTAGATCTTAAGTTAATTCTCCTGAAGAAAGTCTGCAGGATGCTGTTCTGTCTCAAGCTTTAGAAACAGTATAAACGACAAGTCATTGTTAATTTCTGTGTAGTAGGCAATATTTTGTCTTTTTTTTTTCTCCTGTTTAATGAGAGTACAAGAACTTATAATCACTTAGGGAATAGAGATACTTTGCACTGAATAATATGGCTTGTCAGAAAAGGAATGTTTTCACTCTGTGTCAAAGACAGACCCTTGCATCTTCTATTTTCCTCTATTTTTTACAGTCAGCATAACAGTCATTAGATGGGCAAGGAAACACTATCACCATTTATAACAATCTTTTGCCTGGAGTTTAAATGCTGTAATTACTTAGTCATGTCTCTCACTGCATCAAAAGAGGAGTGAGGGAGGCAACTGTTTCCCTCTATTTTGCCTTCATGAGACCCGAGTACTGTGTTGAGACCTGGAGCCCCCTATGCAAGAAAGATATAGAACTGCTGGAGCAGATCCAGAGGAGGCCACTAAGATGATCAGAGCACTGGAGCACCTATCCTATGAAGAAAGGTTGAGGTTGAGTTGGGCTTGTTTAGTTTGCAGAAGAGAAAGCTCTGGAGAGACCTCACTGCAGCCCTCCAGTACTTTTAAGAATGCTTATAAACAAGACTGAGGCAGAATTTTTACATGGGCAGATAGTTTTAGGAAAGGGGGAATGGCTTGAAACTGAATGAGAGGATATTTAAATTAGAGACTAGAAGGTAATTCTTTACTCAGAGGGTAGTGAGACACTGGAACAGGTTGCCCAGGAAGTATGTGCCCCATTCCTGGAGGTGTTCAAGGCCAAGTTGGATGGGGCACAAGGCAGCCTGGTCGGGTGGGTGGCAACCAGCCCACAGCAGGGGGGTTAGAACTAGATGATCTTTAACATCCCTTCCAACACAAGCCATTTTTATAATTCTGTGCTTTCCAATATACAAATACCTTCATATAACTCATCTTTCTTTCAGTAATATTGCATTTTACTTCGCTTGCAGTTGCCAATGGTTTTATTAGTCCTCCAGCTTTTCCTTTAAACACAAGACTACAAAAGGCTGTGTACCCTTAATATATGCATCTGGCATTGCATTTTAGCACAAACATGAAATAAAGTGAAAGTTATCTACAGTAGAACAGTAAATTTATTCAATTTAGAGACCAGAATAAATTACGTATTTTCTGAGTTTTACTAATAAATTTCATATGCTTGCTAGAAAATAAACATCTCTACCTTGAATGTTCAGAAAACTTATATAATCACAGTTCCAGGAATAGGAACATATTTTGTGATTCTTAATTTACTCAAAATACAGTAATGAATTAGCTCAGATTGGTGAAGTCTGATTTTACATCTTCAGTGGATTATGAGAAGGGAACATAGTCCAGATTCGCGGAAATGGATATTGAATACATCTGATGATTAATCTATCCAACCATGGATAAAAAAAAATAGTCTGGAGATAATAGATGGACGTTTTTCTCTATCTAGTATGTTAGTACTCATGTTAACTAATCAAATTAAGAAAAGCCAGGTTTCTCAGAGTAGTTATGTCAGATAGACCTGACACGTTCTTACCACGTGGCTGATGCTATAGATATAAATCAATATTTTGCATATACTTAATCTTCAATATCATTACAGAAGTCTTAACTCACTTCATAGCATTATTACCTCTATTTGTGACAGACTTAACATGTTTTCTACCAAAAAGTATTTTCACAGAAACTACAACTTTGAAAAAATTTAAAAGGCATATTTCTGTAGTATAAATGCAATCCTTCTATTTGGTAAATTGGTTTGACATCCTTAATATTCAATTCAAGATGAACTGCAATTTATTCCTCTGCCACATGGAATGACTGATTTGATGATATTAGTAACCAAAGTCCGAGGACTTGATCAGTTTCCCAGACTACTGGACCATCACCCAGCTTCCTCCCTACTCAGTTTAGAAGAGAAAGCATTAAATATTATACATAACCCTCACCACATGTCAACAATAAGAGTATTGAACATAAATGTAAAACACAATGACATTATAGACAAGCTATGATCTCGCAAATAATTAGAGAAAAAAGTTCATCTTGACCTAATCTTCATATAATACAAGAACTTAGCTGCAGCCAAAGAGGAGAAACCCATAGTACCACTACTTAAGTTTCAAATTAAAACAGAAAAGAAGGAAAAGAACAAAAATAGTATGAAAGATTCATCTTATTAATGTGAAAGTGTAACTTAGGAGGGGAAGGAGAGAGAATCAAACAATTCACATGGTAAGCACCATTAAAAAAAAAAAAGCCAGCACAAATCAATAGGTATACAGAAAGAAGCAGCATTACTGGGAGTTTGAATTTGAAAAACTTGCTATTTCTGTCTTGCACGTCAAGACTTACTATGAAGATAGAAGAAGTTAGTACAAGCTGCATTTTTCTGTGAATTGAAAACATGAATAAGCATCTCTTAAGTTCGGGAACATTCTAACAATAGCAATATACACGTTTCTGGAATAAGACAAGATTAGGTCCAATTACCTTGTATTGGTCCAACCAAGAACAAAACTTGTTCCTAATACAGTGAAGAGTCACAATATGCAATCTTATGCCATAACACTTTGGATTATTATTTTTGAGGCATGCATGCAAGTCAGATAAAAAAGGCAGATGAACCTTAGAAGTTAAATTCAGAATTAAATCAAGTTCCTGCGTTGGGACTTACTGAGCTTAAAGCTGATTTACTATTTATAAATAAGTATTCTACATAGCATTCCCTTTTCTTCCTAAAATGCAGAATAGGAATCAAGAAGGATTGCTTCATTATATAGTCTGGAGATTATGTTTTTATCAGTGAATAAGAACAATATTCCTAATCACGGTAATTAAGAGTGCTAAGAAGCTTTTGTCCACGCTCTTATATTACCTCTAAGAATTTCAAAAGCTTCAAAACACTTCTGAAGTAGGAATTATTTTCATACATTTTTCAGATACACAAATACATGAGTGGCTCACACAAGGTCAAAGTCTACAAGAGAAGTGGAATTTGTCCTATGAGTTCCATGGACATGGTGACCTATGTAAAGATCTTGACAACACATTGCAAATTCCTTACGTGTGTGAGATTAAGGTGGCTAGAGCAGACATCTCTTTACTAGGTGCAATCCTCTGTTTGTGCAGTATTATTCATAAAAACCATCCAGAAGGTATAGCCACTCATTAGAAAACATAGAGTATATGAAAGATTTAAGTGAGATATATACTTTTCACACACATTGTGCCATCCATTGTTTACTTCTTTTCATTTGTATATAATCAGGTCAGCAGGTACATTTCTGTTCAAGTACAAGATATGAAATAGAAGATGATGAAATAATTTCTCTGTATATTTTTCTTTGGTCTGTTTTCAAAATTATTAGCTATATTACAACATTTTTCTAAAGAAGAAACGAAAGGAACTTCTTGACAAAATCCTACACAAATTCAAAAATGAATTTCCTGTTCCTTCAATATGGGGAAGATAATATTCATTTTCATAGATCTTTGCTACCTTTGCAAAGGTAATGGAATATAGATATTTCATCCAAGTTGCAGACTATGCCTTATCCTCTCAAAATCTTTAGGTTAAATTTCAAATAGATGTATTAGTGGCACATGGTCAACTAAAAAAGCACATTTCTGTCTGAGATCCCTTTTGCAGCAAACAATTGCTATAATTGAAATTTATTTAGGGGAAGAAAAACCTCAATTTGTTCTATATTTGACAGTGTCTTCACAAAACTCAGTCTTTCCCTATGACATTTAAATAGGCCTCGATCTTTAGAAAGATCAAGAATGAATTTCCCCTTTCAGAGGCAGCAGCCATTAGCTGTTTTCAGGGGCAAACATTAGTCAAATCAACAAAATAAAAGCTACTGAAGTGCGAATATGCCAGAGCTACTTCCAAACAACCAGTCTGTAAACCAGCATTACATATCTAATTGAGGAGATACTCCTACATTGCAGTACTCTGTGTGTACTATTTTCTGAAAACAGAAATTGCATGGTACAGAACTTACATCTCTGTGCTGCACTTGATATGTTTATACCAGATCATATTAACTGCCAAAGGTGCAAATTTGTAAACTGAATTATGTTACTTAGGCCTACTTGTAACTATCAGTGAAGCAAGATAGTGGAACTTAGATTTACAGGGCCATTGCATCTCTGTCCTGCAGCTGCACCTGAAGTAGGATCTGGATGAAAAATTAACTTCAGTCATGCAACCTGAAAGGCAGCATAGATGGGGTAAATTGTACATAGCTACTCTCCAAGTGAAAGTGAATGCTGAAGATCTGGAGGCAATTTCTCCGTTAACTTCACTATTTTCTTATGCAAATATAGGAATTTATAATTCTGTTTAATGAAAAGTATTTTTATAAAATGATTTTTTTTTTTTCTCTCCACAGATCATGTTGTGTGTGAAGAAGAATTCAAATATGCTATGCTAGCTCTAAACTGTATATGTCCAGCTACCTCTACATTGATCACACTGCTGGTTCATACCTCCAGGGGACAGTAAGTATATATTACCATTAACAAGCAAAAGCACGCTTTGCAGAAGTTACAGCTGAGATTCTGTATAACATGGCTTAACTTGATCGCTGGGCAACTGCTTCAGTTTTAAAAGCAGATTGGTATTTTCAGCTCTTTAAAGACATCAAGATATTTTAATTAAGGTATGATAATTTCAAAAAAGATTTCCTTCTCATGCTCCAAATATTGAATTTTTTGCATAGTGTTATCAGTTCCATAATAGAAAGTGTTCACTGCCTTTTTTTTTTTTTTTTTGCTAACATACAAACTATTATGTGCGATTCGGAGCAAGGACATCAAGAAGCAAGCAAATACACATACAAGGAGATGGTTTTTAACATAACCACCACATATGTGTATGGAAAGGCATAGTGAATTATGGTGTCTCTACAGACTGCATAATCACCCTTAGAACTTCTCTATATTTATTGGAAGAATTCTACAAAATCTATTATTCCTAGTATGCTATTGACATGAAACACTAAGGTATTCTTAAGAAAATGCCATGGGCCGAGAGAAGCATTAACAAGTAAATCTGAGTATATCTGTAAAAGTGGAGTACATGCATACAGAACTGTACATTTGATAGCAGTAGAAATGAATGTTTTTTCAAATAACTAGATGTCCAGTAATATCTTGATATTCATAAGCAGAGTTATTTAACCTTCTGTATGGCAGTTGCAGTATTTTCCTGTGCCAAAGATAGGGAACAGCGAAATATAGCTAGAATTTTTGTTACCAGCAATAACAAATATCAAGGCTTTAGTGCTCCTGTTTGAAGTTGCATTTGAAGTCAATCAGTATGCAATAAAATATGTTTCCATGCCTCCTGAAAACCATGGTGACATACAATCTTTCTGCCCACTTCTCATTTCATGACATGCATGAACGGAATACAGAGCCATTTAAGATTATTCCATATTATTTTTGTATGAAAGAAGAATAGCATACCTAGCAGATATCAGAGAGTTTTCAATAAGCACAAAAACTGACATTATGCAACGTTTTCTACTATGCCTGAGAACATTAGCATTTCTAATTCAGGCATATTGATAATTTAATATAGATTCCCAGCTCTGGTTCAAGTAACTACAGCAGAATGCAAAAGTACTTATTTTTTTTTCTCGCTAAGAATTAATTGATGTAATCAAGGTTGTTGAAGTAACTGAAGCAAATTTGAGTTGTCTTCACAAACATAGAAGTTAAAGAAGATCAAGTATTTCAAATGCATTATCTTTGCTACAAAATATGTAATTCCCAGAGCGGTGTTTTCTTCTTTTCCTTTTATTTCTTACAACTTTCACCTGGAAATACTGGAATATGTTTCCAAAGATCTAATTTAACTCTGTTGATTCACAAGCTTAGGAACTTTACTGTAGCGTTGGGAGTGTTTGTTCAAATCTATATCATAGATAAGACTTCATTCAGAAAGTAGTTTGATTGATAATTCAGAACTTCAAAATAAAAAAATTTCTCCCTGCTACTCAAATAAACGAGCAGATGTTCCCACACATAGTGAGCTCTTATAGTGATTAAGCTTTATCAAGGTCCCTTTTCTAGAGTTCTTTCTGATCCAGCTCTCTCTGTCACTTGAAGCATGAAGCAGACAGCTTCTCCCATCTTTTAGATCCGCTAGGAGCTGGCATTCACAGCCACCTGTAGCTGTAGTCACTGCTGAGGGAGGTCCTGAAAGCTTTCAGCCACAGCAATGCTCCCAGCTGCCAGATACTAACTTGTCCCTTTTGCAAAGCTTTTTGGAAGAATGATGCTTCCAAAAGCCATTATAAGCGATGCTTATCAGAGAACTACAGAAAGCTTAAACACTGAAAAATCCTACCAGACTCAAATATTAACTTAAAAGTATTAATGCAGCTGTTTGTACTCCTACAAATCAAGTACCAGCTAATTTATGTACAGTTACACACTGGGATCTACTTCCTATACTTACTAAGTAGTGTGACACTTAATAACGTAAGCTTCATGATTATCAGAAAAGAACTAAGTACACGGAAATTACTGCAAATTGAAAGCAATAAATAGCAGCAGAACACAGAAAAATAATTACTCTGTACTACCCTAATTAGAATGATAAAACAATAAACAGTAAAGAAGAAACATGCATAAATTAAATAAATTAAAGCATATTTACCAGTATAATTCTGTGAGTAGGTTAGGGAAAATGTGCATTTCCCAAGCAATTTTGACCAGACCAACTTTATATTAAGATTAAGAAGTTTGCTGCTGCTTATGCCATCCAGCTTTAGTAATATTCACAGTGGCCAGGCTAGTTGCAATTCATCTTATTTTCATAGAAAGTGTTTGTAGAACTCAGATTATGAGGCACAACATTTCTATCTTTATTTTTATTTATAATTTTATTATTGATTACTTTTAATCTTAACGTTTACCTTTAAACACTCCCAATCTATTAATAGAACTCTAACAGTTTATAATACAATACAAAGTTCTGGAAGAAAGTAGCATTTTTGACCTGAACTTCATGTGATCGTTACAGAACGGCACCATGGGAAGCTTTTCGACAACTAACTGGAACCAGACAGACTCTGAACAGGTAAGAATTTCAGTTTGGGGCAGGAGAGGGGTGCTAAAATTCAATATGGAACAATTTCCTTCTGTAATTAGGTTTCGAATTCTGCTATTCTATATGTAATGCACTGTTTTTTAATACCGTTGCAATAAAAATGTTTACTTTATATTCATTAACCTTGGAACAAAATGTTTCTGTGCTGAGGGTGAGGAAAAATAAAATCTCAAGAAAAACAAATTATGTCATGATACTGAAAAAGTAGAAATGAATACTAACAAGTCACAGTATCTAGAGATCTTAGCTCCAAAAGGCAAAATGCAGAGCATATTTGTCACTTGTTTGTTCTGATAAAGATACATATAATTCCACTGTACCTAGCAAAGCCCACATAGATGGAAACTTGGTCAGTAAGGGGTTCACAGAGGCCCATAGTCTGCAAGTTTTTGTGTTAGCAAGGTGTGGAACATTTCCATTAACAATGCATTTGGATAAGGAATGTTAGCTGCACTTAGTAAAGGACCCTTAAAATGATTAATAATTTCTTTTCTTGCACTAGAAAAGAGGATAGTATACAAGGCACAGTAACAAAAAAAAACACCTTCTGGGTAAATACTAAAGACAACAAACATGAGCAAATGCAGAGAAAAATCTTTCTTGCAGATAAAGTGACATAAATCAAATGAGTCCTGCCTACATAAGTTATTTTCAATTATTCTTTACCACTTCAAACAGGAACCAGACAATCTGCGAAGAGACTGTCTTTATGAATAGAATGAGCATGCTGTTGGTTTCACCTGTCATCTTTCAATTACAGTGAATCTACTTCTTGTGGTGTGAATTTAACCTAATTCCACCATGTTTCTCCTGGCATTGAAGTACATAATCCGACTATTACTTAGCAGAAAATGCTCTCTATTTCATAAAAATAATCTTCTTATTTACAGTGTTACCAAGCTTTGATCTCAGATACTTCTTTCAGATTAGCCCATGGGACATTTCCAATAGATGTTTATAATTTCTACTGCTTAGTGATAATGCACTGATTACTAAGAATGGTACATTAAGTTTTAAATTATTCTCTTTATCTGTACATGTTTCAGAGAGAGTCAGCAATCATCAGAACAGTGGCAGAAAATGTATGGCAGATGCTCTGGTAATGAAGTGTTTCACATTAACCTGGAAGAAAGTACTTTTTTTGCTGAGTATGAGGGGAAAAGCTTCACATATGCTTCTTTCCATGCACATAAAAAGTATGTTTATTTTCCTATAAAAGATTGACTTTAAAATTTTGCCTCAAATGTAGCTCTGCATTCGAAAGTGCAATATCAGGCATTACTCTGTTTCTGGATTAAAACATCTGGCCACCAATATACTCAATTGTATATTAGGAAATATATTTCATTCAATTGTAACTTCTGTAAGTTACAGTTGGTCATGTAAAGGCTAATACTGGTTCTTTATAGGCAGCTCAATCTGAGAGAATAGAATATAAAGGATATATAGGATAAGCTTGATAACCATAATGAATCATACCTTAGACACAGATTAAATCAGAACACAAATCCTTTTCACTTTTTTTTTTTTGTTTTCAGTGTTTGATTCAGGAGCCAGCTGGAAATCCAGCATGTTCAGTTTTACGCAAAGCATTCAATTTTAAGCTGATTCCTGCTATATCCCGGTGATTGTCCAGAATACTTTTTTCCCCGCTTAGATTCAATTTTAAGAACATTAATACATCTTCTTTATGTTCCAGATCATGCATCTTTTATTCAGTACTGATGTGTGAATGGAACTCATCAAAACTTTGAACGTTGATCTTATTTTCATAATTAATAAGAGACCAAAGATTATTTCAGTTTTATTTCCTTATTTTCTCTGACTAATTAAATAGATTTTAGAAGTGAATGGCTGAATATTCTTAAAGTAGTTTCCAGGACATGGAACAATTTAACATGATGAATACATTTTTCATAGAAAGTATCCATTTCTCTGTTAATAATTTCTCAGAAGGGATTAATCATCTGATAGAAAAATTAACTGAGACATCTCTAGTAGAATCTCCAGAGATAAAGAAACACATTGGAATCAGATACCTTGGATTCATCATTTAAAAAAAACTGCTTGATGATCCACTTAGGAGATAACATTTTTTCAAACATTTGACAACAAAAATTCTGGAAAGATTCTATTTGTACAGTATAAAATATACAGAAGGCTCGTTTTTGACAGTGGAAATTCTAGTATATACAGAACTATAAAAAATGAACCATGCCTCTCCTTTTCTAATTAAGGTTTGGAGTCTGTCTGATTGGTGTTAGAAAGGAAGATAACAAAAACATTTTGCTGAATCCAGGTCCTCGGTATATCATGAGTTCTACAGATATATGCTTTTATATAAATATCACCAAAGAAGAGAATTCTGCTTTCAAGAAGCAAGAAAAACACAGAAAAAGACATGAATCAAAATTATCTTATCATGGAGCATCTAGGTTGCCTGTACACAGTATAATAGCCAGCATGGGTAAGTTAACAGAAAAACATGTCTCACAACATGTTCAATTAACAGTGCATTTCAAGCTTTTAAAAATGTATTCCTGTAATTAAGAAATTAAAATAGAGTGCAGAAAGTATATTAAACATTTCCCGTTTTCTTTTCCTAAAAAGGGTATTTTCCCCTAAACTGTATATATATATATATATATATATATATGTGTGTGTGTGTGTGTGTGTGTGTATATGAATAAATACGTCATGGAGACTTTTTTTTTTTTTTTTTTAAACACAATGGAGTTTATGGTTTGCAAACACATGAAATAGCATCAATTAATTTATTATAAATTAGTTCAATTCTACATAATGGTAATTACCATCAAGATTTAGCATCTCTTCCATGCCAAGTTACTAGTTGGTTTTATTACAACAAAGAAACTCCAACCATTACATTTTCTCTCTAATTTCAGGAAACAATATCATGAAAAAAGAAACAGAAAACTTAAATTTAAAAAGTAAATTAAAAAGTATCAAGAACTCAGATGCCAACTTCTAACGTGGGTTTTAGAAATGTCAAAATATCTAGTGAGTTTGTTACATGTAGGGTCAAACTTATAATTATTACTAAATGATGTGCATGAATGAAATATGAAATCTACTGGTGACGCATATTAATATGAGTGAATTATACTTGGCATGTATATATATTCATGGTTAGGGATAGTGCAGATGTACAGGAGAAGGCTTCCTCAAGAGTAAATATTTGTTATACTTTAATATGATAAACACAGCTAATGGATGTGGCATTCCTTTCAGTCTTTGTCCATGAGGTCTGAAAATCCCTACTAAATATGGGAATCTCATTTAAATGTTTTAACAATCACATTGTAAAACCAATTTCAACACTACTTCAGGAACCGTAGCTATCGATTTACAAGACACAGGATGCCGAACGTCCAGCGGACCTACACTAGCTCTTCCTTCTGAGGGAGGTAAAGAGGGCAGACGGCCCAGTATAGCACCTGTTCTGGAGGTTGCAGACTCATCCTCACTTCAGGCATGCGACCTTCTAAGTGACCAATCAGAAGATGAAACCACTCCATCTGATGACGAAGTCTCTGCAGGCTTAGAGTATGTATATTTAATATAAACTAAGTAACATTATTTGAAACAAGCATGGGCAGTTTTGACACTCAGATCAATCCAAGAAGTTGTAGCAAGTAAGACACACAAAGGAAGTATTTTTTTTTAAGAAATGCTTTTATCTGGTAGCAGAATACTGCGACGCCTATTTTGAAAGAAGAAAAACAGACCACATCCTCTATTTACAGGAGATTTTCTACACGCTGTAATACAGATGTGTGTATAGCAATTTATAGCATACACATCAAGTGACATTCATGACCATTTTTCCTACAGTTCATAATTACTAGGACTAAAGTAAGCTGTAAACAAATAAATACCTCTGTCCTTCCCTGACAATCAGGTAATTTAACAGGCATGTTGAACATTAACAGTAGGTACATGACTCCAAAACATAAGAACAATCCAAAATGTGATATGAGATCACATTATTACATCTAATTTAAAATGTTTGTTAGCACATTAGTGAAAGTAATGCTGCACTGCTCACAAAAAAAGCAAATCTGGTAACCACCTTAAAATAAGATAGGCAATTATGTTTATTGGGATTACTGAAAAGAATATTAAAACTGAAATACTCAATTAAGACAATGGCTTACCTAGCAGTTTCACATCTCCAACTTCACTAAGTATGAGAAGCCCCAGGGAAGATCATAAAAATCCAATGAAAAAAATAATAGAATAAGTCATCTTCACTCTGTCAACTGAAACAACAGAATATAAAAGGCTGCCTATCTTCTCAGTCTTCCCTGATGGCTGTGGATATTCTGATCACGTATGTGCACCTCCCATTGCAAGTGAGTCTTCCTCACTATCATGTAGTCTTTTATTAAAAATGAAGGCCAATTAGAAATTTCATTTTTGGTAAAAGAAGGTAACGACCTTACTTGTTCTTGAGATTCTGAATGATAAGTGGGGAAGGAAGAGAAGCTGTCCCACCATGTTTTCTAGTTTTCCAACTTTCCTTATATTCCAATGTGTTTAGAACACCAAGCCTGTACACTACAATATATCAGCCCATTTCCAAAGATGTTTGTACAAAAAAAAAAAAAAAAAAAAAGCCAAACAGAATTCCTTCAGTTCACAAAAATTTGACAGCTGTCAATACATTTTATAGAATGGGTCAAAGATTTAAATTACATACCTTTGTTCATTTAATATACTTGACTCTTAGTCCACAAATACTTGTTTAAGTAGGCATAGGTATAAGCATCCCATAAAACAGCTGTATAATTAAATGTATTTCATTGTCTATACTAAAAAATATTGGGTTTTTTTTTCTATTCTACTAGGTATGCCAAAGGCTATCCTCCTTACTCTCCTTACATTGGAAGTTCTCCCACATTTTGTCATCTTCTGCATGAAAAAGTACCCTTCTGTTGTCTAAGACTAGATAAGGTAAAGAGAGTTCTCTGGTATTGGATAAAACTGCATTCACATTTGTCTGCTGCATCTGAACATTTTTTGCTTAGATGTGAGCTTTGTCACAAACTAAGTTTCTCATCCTTTTTCATCTCCAAGCATTTGCATCTATGTAATCAGATCTATTTCAGGTCGGCTGATACAATTTTCTATTTCTAGTGGTAAAACCTTCCATTCCACTAAACCTCTTCATTCATATCCACTGAACTTGTTTCTCATTTTAATTTTAGGGGTGCCAGCATAACTACTATGAAGATGCCAAAGCCTATGGATTCAAAAATAAATTGATTATCGTTGCAGCAGAAACTGCTGGAAATGGCTTATATAATTTTATCGTCCCTCTTAGAGCTTATTACAGACCGAAAAAAGAACTCAATCCCATTGTATTACTCCTGGATAACCCGTATGTAGATTTTAAAAATATTTGTCTCTTTTTTTTTTCTTTGTGATACATTTTAAAATCGTTTTATCATTACTTTGATAGGTGATCACTCTTCAGATGGCCAACTTAAAATCAAAAACATTATGGCACGTACATCTTTGCAAAAAATAAAAAAATACAGAACCTATGTTGTTATATGCAAAACTGACTTTCTCCTGACTGTAAATGGCTGTATTACATTCTAATGTCCTTATACTTCACAGGTGATGTTTCAATGAAGTATTAAAATATTGAAAGTAATATGAATACTAAAATTAACTTTGTAAGCACTGTAAAAAAGTCAATTCATGTAGCTAGTCATTCTTGTAGCTATAAAACTGCAATTCAAACACTGCTTTTACAAGTCACTTAATGGCCTTAATTGGAATATTTGTAACAATTTTACACTCTAGGATAAATAGTTCTTTAGGCCAGTAGGATCCACTTTCTAATTCCCTTTCTCTGCAATAATGTTGTTGTTAATACCACACCTGTGTGGAGATCACTAAAATTATTAGCCTTTTTTGCATTAGCTTTTTAAACTTTAAGAAAAAACCTTCTGACAAGAGTACTGCTTAATAATCTGAACATAAATAATTAATTGGTTTTTTTTGGGGGGGCAGAGGCTGGGGGAGAACCATAGTACTGCTTAAGAACTTACTTGCAATTGCAGCTCTTTGGTGCTGCTTACATACTTAGAACCACAATTTGAAAGACACAAAAATGGAGGCTAGCCAGATAAGGAATATGAGGTTGAACTATGACTTAAAGAAATTACATCAGAAGATGTGCTGTACAGATATTGATACTAAAGTGACACTTTGGTTTGCATGTATGTGCTCTGGTTTATTACAAGCAATTTTTTATGCAAAAATCTGCAATGAAGTGTTCTACTTTAGCCTCAAACAGCTTTTTAATGAAGCTATATACATTTGTGTTTGCAAAGCAAAGGTTTTAAGTGTATATATGTTATGGCATAAAATGAATTACATGATTTGGTGAAAGCTTGAATTGCTCTTTAAAGATTTCTGGGTTTTAAAGTTTGTTATAAAGTGATGCTTAAGCTGTGATGTGAACCCAGAGTGCCCTCTAGTGCTTGCTATCTTTTCCACAACTGCGCCTGAGCTAACACACTTCAGAGCTATAATTTTACACCTAAATATCATTTTAACAGCAAAAAGTTTTGGCTGATAATTAAATTAGAACCCTTATTTCTCTACCTTCTACACTGCACTTGCAGTGGCTCCTCCCAGCATTCAGTGTTGCAGAGTCCCTCCTGAAAAGCCAGCATGCTTTCTATACATGCATTAGGTTGAGGTCTTGGTGCCATTCATGTCAATTGGCATTTTGCAATTTCTTTCACTGGACTCAGGAATCTAACCACCTTTGATGATCCTGCCTATGCCTTTTTGTTATAATCCTATTTTTTTTTAATCAACCCACTATTACAGTATTCTGTTACCTATACGTGGCATTTTTTGAGATTTCAGTTGTTTCTCAATATGCAAGAAGAAATCCAGTAAAATTTATGAATAAAGAAACAATAAAACTTTATTTCACACATTGTTTTTAAAATTAAATTTTTCTTCAAAATTTTTCTCTTTTACTTAAGTCAGAGTTATTAGCTGTAACTCAAAGATTCTACTCCACTGAAAAGTAAGGTTTCACTGCTTATTTTTAGTATCCCTAATTCGTGCACTGGAAAACAACTTGGCAGTGTCTTTGAAATCAATCACTCGTTTTAATATTTGAAATTGTACTGTGCCATAAATTTTCTGATTTAAGAGGTGCATTTATTAATAAGCATGTGATCATTCTGATCATCCTTTACAGTTACAGCACTGTTATTTCACAGTTTTCTATTACTTGTGTAAAGACATAATACTTCCAAGGTTTTTTTTTTTTTTTTTTAATTATTGTTTTTGTTTTTAAATTATTATTTTTGTTTTTGTTTTTGTTTTTGTTTTTTGAAGTTAACAAACCACCATCCAAACTACTTGTTTTTTTTTTTTTTTTTTTTTTTTTTTTTTTGAAGTATTTTAGAAGAGATGCTGCTGTTGTGATATTGTGTTTCATTTTGTAATCCCATCTGCTGCTTAGGCCAGATATGCATTTTCTGGATGCAATCTGTTGGTTTCCAATGGTTTACTACATGGTGGGCTCTATCGACAAGTAGGTGAAGTAACTGTTAGAAAACTTAACATTGTAGTGGTCAGTGGCTTGTTTTGTGTATTGTCATTGCATGTCTACGTGTGTGTTATATTTGAAGATGATCTATCTGCATGCATGGTCTGTGTGTCTGTGTGCTATAGTTTGAGATTTCAAATTTCTGACTTCTAGAGGATATTGTCAGTAAAAAGTATGGTAGGGAACACAGTTTAGTATCTTCAAAACCCAAGCATTAACATTTATTTTAATAAGTATTTAGTACGTCTCTAGGAATTGCCAGGTAATAGCACTGATTCTAGTGACACCCTTTATCATTTACAGACTAGGCTTGTGTAAAATAGCTATAGAACACAAACAGCACTAAAACTAATGAGTTTAAATGTGTCCAACATAATTTTCCCCTACATAAAATATTCGCCTACTCCAATATTTGTCTTCAGAAATTCTGCTGGTATATATTTGCATATCTAAGCTCAGCAACATACATTTAACAGAAAAATCAGGCAGAAATGACAAAGGGGAGAGAGGAGCAATGGCTCAGTAGCATTTTAATAAGCTCATGTGCCTAGTGTCAAATCAAAGTAGAAAATAGTTCGCTTCACTACATGGCTGCTTTTGAGCTGGGGCTGCAAGGCCACAGTACTCATTCTCCACACAGACATCAAATAATTTATTTCCTGCCCAGAAGTAGCAGAACCTATTTTTTCAATGAAAATTTTAAATATTCAACATTTTAAAATTTTCATCCTGTTTTAACAGGGGCTTTAAAACTGCTTATAATCGCGATGATAGAGCTGCAGATTTGTCTTGGCAATACCTTAGTCACTGTGAGACCTGCAGTGGATCTGTAGACATGTTTTTTACTTACTAGACGTGTTTTTTCTAAAGCAAAAATGTGTCTTGGGTTGTTAACAGCTACTATTTTTCTTAAGGTTTTAATCCTATAAAAGTTACAGAAAATTCATAGAAGCAGACTAATTGAATTGCCTCACAGTATCTAAAATAATTAATAACCCAAAGACCATTTTTAATTAACTTGGAAGATTAAATTCTAATAAAAATTACTGGTTTTACTTTCAAAAGGAAATCACTTCCTACAGGTTTTTTTTCATTTGTTCTGAGGTGTGTTTTATTTCTTTTTAAGAAATGAATGCGTAAACCTGAGGACTACAGTCCACCAAAGGCATTACTATGCAAAGTTCTTTTGTTTGCAGTATTGTTAACATGAACTTATGCATCAAATCTGACAATGCAGTCACTTTAAAATCAGATACTGTATTTTATTTTTTGACATCTATTTTCATCAATAATGAGATTTTGTATTTATTCTGAGTTTTCTTAAATGTTTTAAAATCATATATAACCAATAGAAATCAATCATGTTTAGCTAAATGCTACAATGTAAAATATACAAAGTTTCTTTCTTAATGTCTCTGGAATTCACTTCCAATGCATTTAAGAATGCCATCTGTTACCTTTTAAATATCTAATACACTTGTCCTATGGTCACTTGGCACGAAATGTCACTAAGTTGAAGAGAAAACCGCAAAAAGGATTACCCATATATACCACTCCTTTTTTTGCTAGAAGCAAGTAGCCTGCAGAAAAACATCTTTACAGAAATCCATAGCTTGACTGAACTTCACCAAAATGTACCAAGTTAGCAGAAACATCTACAGACTTGGAGTATAAAAGATGTGAGATATGTAACTGACCAGATTCCAGTAGTGCAGGAGTCTGTTACATATTAAGAAATACTGATAATGGAATTATAAAAATACTTATTAGAATTCTAACTCCCCACATTAAAAAAAACCTCAAAGTAGTGGTACAACTGAAAAAAAATGAATAGGTTTTTTTATCTCTGAAATGCAGAAAATATAGTTGCATTTTAGACTTTGCTGCTATTTTACTGCTAGTTCAGTATTACATTACTGCTATTTCAGTAATTAAATTACTCAGAGAAAGGTCAGGTTTCCACATATGCACTGACATTATTAATATAGGTCATATAATTTTTCTTTTAGTAGTCAACCACCAGTAAAACTGCAGTTTCAAAAATTGTACCATATATTTGTTTTGGAAGAACACATAAAATGTAAAATAAACATCAATAATGTGTATCCTTTTCCTTATTCTAAAGTTTCAAAACAGATTTAGAATAGGATATGTAAAACTTAGGAGCCTTAGAAGATCACTGAGAACAGTAATAATTGAATCAGTATAGTTTAGACAATATTACAGATTAGATCAACTGCCAAATGAGAAGCAATTCTAATGACAAAATAGCTTTTCTTCCTTGGAAGTAAAGAATGATGCAAAAAACGTAGCTTTTCAATTTCTCCTGGAAATCATGAAATACCCTTTCTTCCCATTTTCACTTAAGAGTCGTTTGGTTCCCAGCAGCTTTTATTACAGAAACTAAAACAAAAACCAACGAAAAAAAAAAAATTCTGAAACTTTTCCAGAATTGTTTTAAAAGTAACTTTTCCTACAGAAACTAACAACCAAAATGTGCTTCATTTTGGAAATAAATATAAGGCATGCTGGCAACTGTAACTTAGTTGTCAGAGGTGGTTTTCTGTGGTCAAACTTTACAGCAGATATTGTCCAGTAGGTGAAATGTTCTACTGAGGTACAGCTGGTCCTAAAGGCATTGTAACAACACTCCGATAGATAAAAGAGGAGCTTGTCAGATGTTCCCTTAGAACCCTTATTAACATTTTGAAACTGAAACAAAATGTGTTAAAGAGCAATCATTTTAGATCCATTCATTGTCAAAAATAACTATAATGAAGCAAGTTGATGAAACATGTAAGGACATACAGTCTTTCCATGTAACTGTTAAAGGCTCATGTTAATTTCTGAAATAATTCTACCATTTTAGGAAGACTGACCATAACAACCTGAAGTGTATTCTCTATGACTTCAAGGGAAACAATTCATATTCTATTCTCTCAATTCATATTTTTGACATGGACTATACTAGAAGTTATAATATGTACATGGAGTTGCAGGGAACCAGCAACTCAATGTGATTTATCAGTATTATCACTAATCTTTTAAGCATTTCAGGTTAAAGTGACTTGTTCATTTCTTTCTTCCTCTTTCTCTTCACAAAAGCCTAGATGACTTATTAAGATGTGGGGTCACCTTTGCAGCTAATATGGTGGTGGTGGACAAAGAAAGTACAATGAGTGCTGAGGAAGACTACATGGCAGATGCTAAGACCATTGTAAATGTTCAAACACTCTTCAGGTAAGAGATCTTTTGCAGTCTCGTTTTACATATTCATTAATCACGAGGTACCTAATAATGCATTCTGTATTCAGACAAGGGTGTGGTTTCTATTTTTGTTTCCCCTTTCTTTTCACATAGCAAAAAGCCTTAGCTATAAACTGTTTCTTGGCATAACTCTCTTGAAATCTCAGACAAAACTCATCCCCAAACTTGAGGATAATTTCTAATTTTCAGGTTTATAGGAAAGGAACAAATGTTACTTTTGAAAACAGGTCAAAAAACACCCCACATTTTTCTTAGTGCAGCTGTCCTTGTGCTGCTAAAGACAATTCAAAAAAACAGACCCTTCTAATGCAGCAGCTTATGCATTAGTATGAAGTTAATTGTGTATAAATTTTGAATATTGATTTTTCAACAAAAAACAGATTTTCGGCGCATGTGTGCAGTATTACCTCTGACAATAGCATATTCAGAGTCAGGAAGGAATATCTAAATTCAGAGTGAAAAATTGTAAGTCTAAAGCAACTAAGAAACCAGACAGAGTTCAGAGACCTCCAGATCATTTGAGAACATTTCCTGATTAAAGCTACGCTTCATGTAAGTATCTCAATTCAACAAGTACCAAATGATAGAAATCACGTTAAACAGTGAAGAAAGTTTATTTGAAAAAAAAAAAAAAAAAACCAAAAAAACCCACCCACAAACAAAAGCAGATATATACGCTATGCAGACAGCTAAGAAACGCTTCCCTGATCTAGAGCTTAAGTCCAAAACCTCCTGTGATTTATTTTACTAAGGTTTGGTCAAGAAAAATAAGCATGTGAAATCCAAAGTATTTCAACAGATTTTTTTTTTTTCCCCAACTGTGCAGTTGATTAGTGCTAGCATGACTGCTAGCACTCCAAAAGAAGCAAAATCTATGCTGCATAAGAAGTTTTAGTTCTGTCTATTTCAACTTTGAGATTTTGAATTTGCGTTTGATTTTAACATAGATGCATCTCAATCACATATCAAATTTAGAAATTATAATTAAACTTTATTCATGGAACATTCCAGTGTAATAATAACCACATTGTTCTATGATATCTCACTGAGGCAATGATATGCATCACTAAGGTTTCCAGAATTTTTTCCCTAAATATAAAATTGAAAAATAGAATGGAAAGTAAATAAAATTTGTTAAGTAGGTGTTGATATTTCCCATAGTTGTGTTCTACCTAGTGCAACACTAAAAAAATAAAATCATAATATTACATTATGTATAATAGATATCCAAGTAGTAAAACATGCTGTATAACCATTCAGTTTACCTGCACAATAGCTACAACTAGATGGCAGCTGTAACTCATGTATGAAACATACAACTGCTCAGTATAATTCTAAGCCTGCATAGACCTTCTTACAAATTCAAAATAAATAAAAATAACACATTTTAATATTTAACACTGTTTCCAGAAAACCTTGTCAACTTCGTAAACTGTTCTTTTACCTCTTTTCCTGAATTTATTTCTTCTCAAACACAATGTATTCTCTGTATTTTTACATGATATCAAAGTTGCAGGGATAACTAAGTTTCTCTAAGCAGTGTGAAGTAGTGACATTCATCTGTTCTGCAGAATAAACTACATTAATCACAAGAACATAACCTCATAAATTAAGATCTTTCAAGTTTTTTTGTTGTTTAGTAATATCTGTAAGAAAGTAGTGAAGAAGATAATGGACAAAGGCAATGAACAAAAAGTATAGGATTAAATAAGGATTTTACGTCACTGGAGTGTTGCTAATATGTGCTGTTCTCAAACATTTACACAAATTAAAAAGATTCCAACTGAGTCATAAGAAATAAAGCTATATAAGTTTATCTAAATCTCATTGACTCACATCAGCTGATCTCATTATGGATTGCAGGCAGTACTAAAGAGATGATGCAAGTGCACTGTAATGCTGTTTGGCCTAAGTTGCCAATTCTAATAAGCCTGTTTTGGCATTATTCCCTGATTTACATAAATTAGTAAAAATAAATTACTCTTGTTTAGTCAGAACAGTACATCCCCATCCAGCTTTGATTAGGAGATGGATGTGTTGTTTATAACATGATAGAGTTATTAACACCTTTAAGGATAGAAGTTGTTTCATACCAATTAAAATTCTGACACAACACTAACTTACCAGATTTATAGTTTAAAGGAGCGAAGAGCTGCAACTCAAACAGTTGCATCAAATTAGAAAGGAAATTTTTAATCCTTTGGGTGGAAAAGAACAAATCAGCATAGATTAAAAGTACAAGGAGCAATTACTGGTTTTTGGCTATGTCCTACAGATCTTTCTCAATGTAAAATATGAAGCTAATCACTGACTACCACCTCGATAAAACAGGTTTCCTTAAGCAGAAAATCTGTACTAGAAGTGTTTATATTTATTCTTACTTTACTAATTAATGAATTTAAATGCTTATGTTTGGGAAGTCCTGTTTTAAATTCTTATTATCTAACATTTTAGTGACTAAGTTTCAAAAACTGCAAGAAATTTGTTAATAACAGTGTACATAATAAGTCATTCATGACACTTAGCAATCAGTACCAATTTATAAATGCACCAAATAAGGTTTTACGATGCCATTACATGTTTTTCATACTTTATTCTCTCAGCTCATATCCATCTCTCACTTGTCCAATTCCCAAATATCGATTCAACAACAGCATGTCTTCCATCAGGCTGACTAAGGTTTCCTCTTCCCAAGTCAGTTTTTTGTTTTTTTTTTTGTTAAATAAAAGAAAAAACAAACAAACAAACAAACAAACAAAAAACCCTGAAAACAGAATGAAGAAGAAAAGAGAAATCTCTGTAAAGAATAGGCCTGTAGTGTTGAAAGTTTGCAGGCAGTGCCTTGAACTAGGGTTAAGAGGCTATCTTGCTTTGACAATCTCTAATGCTTTTTCCCTATTTCCACTGGAGGGCACTCTTAAATAAGAGGTCTGAATTTTAATCAGTAGCACATTTGTAGATCTTTTGCAATCTTCTTTTATAACTTGGTTATTAACTAAATCCATCTGTAGCAGAAACCTAGTAACTTGCAAATCTTCTTCAGATCATGTGCATCTTATCATTAGATTAGTTGTTTAATTTGCTTTTAGTTCTAAATTATTATACTGTTGTTTTTCAAACCTGAATGCTGGTCCATTAACACAACAATACCAGAAAAATTTCCAGCCAGCAGAAACTTCAGTAATTATATGCTACGTGATACACAATTAACACAGAAAATAACAGAATTTTAAGGGGAAATATGTTCTTCCTCTGGACTTTTTCCTTAGGTTAGTTAAGAGATAGAAGTTCATATGTACAGAGCATTTTCAAGGCTTTCATTTGTATCATATATTAAAAAATAAATAAATGAAGTCACACCATAGTTGCAACTCAAATGTGTGTTTACCATGTGTTTAACCTATCTATGTAGGCTCTATTCCCTAAGGGCTCAATCTTTAGTAGAATAATAGCCTTTATATAACTACTGCACTAGCTAAACTGCCACAGAAAATACTGAACATACACAGCACTTTTCAAGCTACAGTGCACACAAGATGTCATTAAGTGATGTCGTCCAGATTCTCAGCTAGTTTACTAATTCCATTTTTTCTTTTATGATCACAATATTTGGTTATTCACAGGAACAGAACTGCTAACATAACGATGTCCAACATTTCTATAATCATATGATTTAATACTATATATAAAGCTCAACAGACATAGAAACTGCAGTAAGATGCCATTAACACACATACTACTAGGTAGTTCTTGAAATACATTTTGCCAAATTTAGACTCTATGTGAATTATTATTTCAGTGAAGTTCATCCCTACAAAACTGAGGGCCAGGACTAAAAAGTTGAAAAAAATGCACCGTGCAATCCATTTGACATTACCTCACTAAGGTCAGGTTCCAAGAAAAGCACATAAAATGATTGATGACTGCCATGTATTATCGGTACAATATGACAAATTTAGAGCCTTATATCAAAGTCTATTATATGAGCTTTTTATGCTGCCATAAAGACTTAAGTTTTCAGGTGCTTAATTAAAAACATGGACATGAACACAAGTCACAGCATTATGTAGATCCTTACGTTTGTGAACTGTTCTAATTGGAGCTTAAAACTGCAACATTCTTTTGAAATACAGGTTGTTCTCGAGCCTAAGCATTATCACAGAGCTAACTCACCCCGCCAATATGAGATTCATGCAATTCAGAGCCAAAGACTGCTATTCTCTTGCTTTATCCAAATTGGAAAAGGTAAGTAATGAGATCTCTAAAATGTAGAAAACAGTTAAATATACTAAACACTTAATACATACACATGTCCTGGAATAACGTGCAGTTTGTATTCCATTTTGATGTAAAAGTGTTGTAATCATATATCCTGTTAGCATTTTCATTTATCTGGTAGTTACATTATCACAACAGTTTGAGAGCACCAGTTCTCTTTCATAGTACAGTCCTACTAATGGTAAGGATAGTAACACTGCTTAAACGTTGACAGACCCATACAGGCTCATGTATGTTTGGCATTTTCAAGTTATCAAACAGAAGGGCCATAGGGAGGTAAGCTGAGTTTAATTTGCTCAAGAACACGTGACCCCGGGCTCATCCAAGATACTATTGCTAGACAGTAACTTCGGCTACCTGCTTAACTTGGTCAATTCCAGGACAAACCTCTTTTTCAGAGATGGTGATCTGACTGACCTAGAAAACTTCCAGTATTGTTTTCATGATCACAGGCCACATTCTGAGTTATTTCATGAGATCAAGACAAATACTATCATGACACTAGTCTTCAAAACAGACTTTTTCACTCCAGTCCCTCTCCATCCACCACCCCCCACTTGCTAGTAATCTAGGCATACACCCAGTTTCTTCGTGTCATACGTCTTAGTTACCGTAGAAAAATCCGAGTTCAGTTTGAAGTCATTTTTATTATGCAGAAGTAACTTAAAACTCCCATTTCCTAGCTGCACAGTGATTGCCCTAGAATCTGGGTGTAAATTTGAAATTTACATTTTTGCTATTTACTGTGTAACAGTGACATAGTTTCGACAAGTGTTCGTGTAAGGTATTATGTAATGGAAAACCACCTTTTCACACAAGTTTATCTTCACAGCCCAGCTCCCAGTATCTTACACAAGAACAGAACTCTTAAATTCAGCTTGTTTAGATGAAACAGGATGATAAGAAGTTTTTATCACAATCAACTGTATTGACTATCCATGCATACATGTTGACCAAAAAATGCAAATATGTAGGTGATATTTTGTGAATTTTTAGTCTTTGCTTAAAACAGAACGATAACTTAAATCTTGCTTAGGTGGTTTGATTTGCACAGAATTGAGAATCATGAAAAAGCTAGACAGAAACTGTTATGAAGAGAGGAACAGTTTCATTGGGAGTTTATATAGTTTATATAGAGCAGCAAGTGCCAACAGCTGAAAGACCTAGGTTAGAACACACCATTGAAGCTTATGTCTTTGGTGCACTATTATCTGCTGCAAATATTATTTATTTTAAACATACTCCCTTAATATGTAAAACTTAATGACTATGGGCAGCAAGGATAGCAGTAGCTTCTTTTCCAGTATGTGGCATCTGCAGTTCAAAAACTTAGTTCTCCATTTGTCTCAGATAAAGAAAAAATACGAGATAACCATTACCCTTCCTTAAAGAGTTTAGAATGCCCTGGCTGATTAAATACCACAGGTTTCAATGGAAGGATAAAAACTCTTAACTTTAAATGGTCTTTTAAAGTATGTGCAACCCTGTGTAAATTTCATCATACTATACTCTGATTTTATATCCTCCAAAGCATAAGTACATACACATTAGGTGAGCAAAAAAATCTATCTGGGATAGCTGCCTATTTGGAGTGACACACACAAAGACAGTTTGCTTTTCTAAACTTCTGTTAAGGATAAAACATGCTGTCTTCATTTCTTTTTAGTACTGTTCTGATTTGAAGCAGATCTGAAGTAACGTTAAACAATAAAAGCATAAATAATAATAATGCACATTTTGCTGCTGAATTGAGATCTGTAGATAGCAGTTCCAGATCAACAATAAAAAAAATGAATCTGTTCTTGCTAAAAAGCCAGAACAGAAGCAATTAGGAAAATAATCAAAGAAACCATAAAGTACTGCAGAGGTGTGATAACAATCCCAAATTACTTATACCAAGAAAGGGACTAAAAAGAGGTTTCTGTGACTGTATTTCAATCAGCTGTATCTCACATGGGCAACAACTAGTATAAGAACTAACAATGTACTTCACTATTCTCCGTAGAAAGCAACTGAACGTCATTACATTTATGTTTTTGGAAGACCCCAAAACATGTGTGTGTCACATTATGTACTTGTAGATTCCTTTACAGTGACTTTACATTGCTTGTACGAAACATTTACAGCCTTCCACGGAGTTCCTTACTGCCGTCTAAACTGCAGGAGAATATATTAAATCGAGATGGGCCGTACACCTCTTTCAGCCACTGATGGAGTGGCCAAAGCAGGGCTTCAGGTTAGCTTGCAGATAGTGCTTTGTAATTGGCATTACAGTATTAACTATTTAGACTATATTTTTATTTTTAAATAGTAAAAAGGCAAAATCTCAATAAAAACTTGAGCCAGACAGACATTCTCTAGTGTTCTGACAAAATGCAACCCTCCAAAAAATAAACTATACATTAAATAGCAATACAGAGGAAGCATGGCACATGCTAGGAACTATCAAAATCAGAAGTGTACATTTGTTACTACTCAGAAAAGTGATAATTTTGAACTTCCTGACTTGAACCAAACCACAACCATAAAACAATGAGGATGAAGTAAATAATCTATTAATAACTATCTTAAAACTATGTAAGCTATGTGTGCATTCCATTGAAATGCACATACACCACAGTCTTTTATTTATGTTCCTAGAAATGATCTAAGCTTTTTCTTTGAGTAGTTATATCTCCTTTCTCATGAATTCCAAAACAAGTGTCGGAGAAGGAGCTGCTGGGCATCACACATGGGAAAAAGAAAACATTTCAGGCATTCTGACATATTTCTGGCTTCTACATCTGCTATATTGTCTGGAAGACCAATGAGTATGCAGGTAATAAGGAAAAAAAACATCAACACCAGATGCCTGAGTAAAAAATGCATTTCTAACAAATCTATTTTAAGCCAGAAAAAAGGGAAAACAAGTCTGTAATAAAAGAAAGGAGGCAATATAAAAAACTTAATATAAATGGGAAAAATAAATGTACTCTTGTTTTAAAATAAACCAAATGGTCTGTTTGTCGTTGGATACAAAGCAAAAGTATTTCTGAAGATACGGCCTTTGCCCTAACTCACCTCTTCATGGCTCCAAACCAGAATCCTCAGCAAATTCTCCCCAAAAGATGGAAGGATAAACACTACACCTCATTCACATGGTATTTTTCATATGATTGACACAGTTGCCTTTAAAATATTTTGTGGCATGATTCAAAGAATTTAATGTAACATATGCTATGAAATTCATATGGTTTTAATACTGAAGTATTTGTTGTACAACACACAAGCTTTCATTCACAATAACTTTTCTTCAATTCCTATCTTCTACTTTGCAATAAAAGAAAAGCATTCAAATGTATGATGTAGAGCTACAAAATAAATAGTCTTCATCTCTGTGGCTTACACCAGTAAGACCAATAGCATGCTTTTCTAAATAAGTGTTCTTTGTACAATTAAGATAATGCTTTCTTCAATTTTATATGAAATACACTTGTTGAAACACTCTTTGCCATTTCAACCAGAACATTTGTGCATTGTTTGCATGCATGCATTTGTCATGGTAAAGAAAAATCGAGTCACAGATAAATAAAAATATGGAGCTTTGCTCGAATCGTGCAGAAACAAATAACTAGCAAAAAACTTCAACAAAATCAAGCTTTTTTTTTTTTTCTTCCTCTGCACAAGACAATAGTCCTCTTTCCCTTGCTTGTGTTGAGATTTCAGTTCAATACTTCTATTTGGTCTAATGTTTCACAGAAGCAGTATAAATCTTAGGAATGAAACTGAACCATGAAGGGCAGATTTAAACTCTAAGTCTAAACACACCGAACTTATTAAGGATAATGAAGTATATAGTATTTTTTTTCCTATTGATTCAGCAAGAGAAGCAAGCTTAACAGATGCTTTTGAAATTACATTCTGAAAAAAAAAAAAAAAAACAACCCCAAAACTTAAGTATCTGAACACATGCTTCTCTGGTTCTTCATTTAAGCTATTGATTATCCCCAGTTAAACAGGCATTTCTGCCATGCTGTTAGTGATTACATTGTTCCAGAAATATAATGCAGCTCAACCTGATATTGTAATGTCAAAAAAACAAAACAAAACATCTTTCCCTTGCAATGCAAAAGTATTCTAACTACAATGATACGTAAGATTCTAGCACATTTTAAAGAGCATTTAATTTAAAGAACAAAATATTTTACTGGATTTTTTTTTTTTTTTTTTTTAAAAAAAAGGACGTTACTCATGAAAAAATATACTCTCTGCACAAACACCTCTAAATATCTCCTGTGGACAGGACAATGTTGCCTGTTGGGATTAATGGGCTTAGACTATAATTGCTGTGTCAATTATACTTCATATACAAGGGAGACTAGTAAGGGTATATTTTCTTTTTATGACCTAGTGACATAAAAGTACAGAGAGGAGTGTGACTGTATAGAACAAAGGAGTACAAGATAATTTTTCCATTTAGCTTTAGTATGCTTACCTGAGTAGCAAGCTGTACATAGACTCTCAACAACTGCAATAGCAGGCTGGACATAAGTTATTTTAATTGAAATGTATGATAAATAAACCTTAGCTGAATAATATGGAAATAGATTCTTGGGAAAGAAAGTGAAGTTGAACATGTTACCTACAACACTTTACACACTGACAACTAGAAAAGCACTGTGGTGGACAAACATATCTGCATAGAAACGAACAGACAGAAGCCTGCTTATTAGTAATTTACAGTGTGTGTGTGTGTGTGTGTGTATTTATAACAATTGGCCTGTAACTGTAGTCTTGACCTGCCTGCAAATTAGGGAATAACCTGCTGGTTTGTGGAAAGCTTATTTAGCCAGTCAGCCAGAACGTAGCTAACATGTTAAAAGTTAGCAGAGCAGCTCACATGGCGTGGGTCACAGTGGGAGCCCAGAGATTGTTGGATTGCACTATGCAGCAGGCATTGGTACTCCCATTACCAGCTGGATAAGTACCTGCAGCAAATCAGTAATCTCAACCCAGCCAGATATCTGGAGGCCAGTTTCTATCATTCAGGTAGCACCTGGTATGAATTCTGCTTGTGAGTTAACAAGCGCTTGTCAGAATTTCAGTCACTGGTGCCACTCTGAATTTTAAGATTTTAAGTTCCTCTTCGAGGATTTTAAGTTCCTTTGAACTGCTAGTGGGAGATGTGATCGCTTTGACAAGGCAAGTTAGAAGTATCTGTGTCAAGCTGGTTAGGAATGAGATATGACTTAATGAGTTTCATTAGTTTATATAATGCTGAGCAGAAGTAAGAGTATACAACTTCCTACTGTAATGACATCACTGTAGTCTGCACTTGAGTTTGAAGATGCTTGTTCTAGACCATTTTTGCCCTAAAAATGGTGCTTTCTAATACAACTCAACAGCATTTGTTCAGAATATAGAGAATACTTAGAATAAATGATAATAATAAAAACCAACAAGTACTGAGATACTTTTAAAAAAATTTTCGGCCCCCTTTACAGAGGTGACATTTTACAAAGAGTGGATTAATGACAGCAAGAGTTACTTTAAATACTTTTAACTAGAAACTACTTCTGTTCCTTGACATCCTTTTCAACTCTGCTCATGTAAAACAGTAAGAATCAACAGGTGAAACCAACAATGACAAACAGAGGTTACAGCATGCTGCAATCGAACCTAAACACATTTGGATGATGCTCTAGCTAGAACAGACTTATTCTTTGCATATCACAGAATCAGAGTATGGTTGGATTTGAAAGCAACTTCTGGAAGTTTTCTTGCAAATGGCCCTTGCTCAAACAGTGTCACCTGGAGTAGGCTGCCCAGGACGAAATTCAGACAGTTTTTGTTCATCTCCAAGGAAGGACTCTACAACCTGTTTTGCTACTTTGTCACCCAAAAGCAATAAAATGTTTCCATATGCTCAGAAAGAATCATTTGCATTTCAGTTTATGCCCATTTCCTCTTGTCCTCATACTGGGCACCACTGAAAAGAACCTATCACAGAATCATGTTTATCTCCGCCATCTTTTCATCCTCCCTTCAAATATTTGTACGCCTGAAATCAGCATCAACCAATCCACCCACATCTCCCCATACTTTGTCTTGAGATTGTTTTGTCTGAGTCCTTTCCTTATGCTCCAATATCTTGATCATCTTAGTAAAACTAACTTGACTCTCCAGAACATTCATGACCTGCATGTTCCCGGGAGCCCAGAACTATACACTGTATTCCACACTTGGCCTCACCAGTGCTGAGAAGAGAGGAAGATATCGCCTCCCTTGACCTACTGGCAACACTCCTCCTAACACCCAGGATTCTGTTAGCTGCCTTTGCAGCAAGGGCTCATTGTCAATTCATGTTCAATTTGAGACCACCAGGATCCCCATACCCACCCTACAAAGCTGCCTCTGAGACTGTTAGCCCCAAGCACAGATTGGTGTATGTATGTGATGAATGTGTCTCTCCATTCCAAAACATGACTTCTCTGTACTTTGAGAACGTGCTCTTTATGATGTATCAAGCTTTCAGTTTGGAGATGTCATCTCTCCTTAAAATAGGAAAAATTATTTCCAACCTGTAGTTTACTCACATATTACTGAAGGAATAGGAAGCACATTGCTGTGATTTCTTTATGTATGAGTTGTCATCAGAAAAATGAATAACTATTTATGTTCTTCTGCCTCTCTTCCTCAGAAGTATCAAAACAAAAAATGTCTACCCTAGTCTGTCTGGTCTGTTTCCTCTGTTCATAATTCGTGTTGCTAATAGACTTTTTGAACCTGAATGAGAGTCCACTGTCAACACCGAGAAGTTTGGATCACGAATAAAAAGAACTTTGCTTTAAAAACAGTTGAAACACCTCAATCTTTGTTTAAGATGATTTGGAAGAATGTCAAATTGCAGATGTAATGATTGAAACAACACATGCATTTAACAAATTTTCAACCTGAAAAACTTAAAGTATTGAAACATGCTACGTATTTGTGGAAACTATCTTAAGAACAAAGCCATTTTTATACTTTTGCTCTCTTTCAAAGTAGCGTTAAGTTGGTATTATAATCCCTCCAAAAGCAGTAATTTTTTTTCATTATTGTTAATTTCCATGCAGAAAGAACGGGAGAAGGGATCTAATTTAGCATTTATGTTTCGACTGCCCTTCGCCGCTGGCAGGGTTTTCAGCATCAGTATGTTGGACACACTGCTGTACCAGGTACTGTGAATAACAACCACGTGCCTTCATTTCACATAGTCATGCCATGTTACCTCCCATTTTTTCTACTTAGTTGTTGGATTACCCTGTTTTCCTACATTAACCCATTAATGTAGGTGTTATGCCAGGAGCAATCAAAGGTAAAAGACCACAGAGCACATTCTATCTGACAGCACTACTTGCAGTCACCAACCCAAAACTGTCCATGAACATATTCTGTTTTAAATATTATAACACTGTGAAGTTCTCCACAGAAAAAACGGATAGTTTTGATACAGACTGTATAAAATACAGATTATAGAGACTGTTAACACTGGAAAAAAAACAAATACTCATTGCCAATTTCAACAAAACAGTGCCTCTAATCACAAAAATCAATAGAAATATTTGTATGAATAGTTTATCAGCAACCTTCACTTGCTGATAGAAGCTTTTATTACATTACCCTATCTTTTCCTCTTACTCTTGTTAACTAGACCTCCAGATGAGCAGCCATCACACTTTAAAGCCAAAGAGCCAGTTGCAAGTTGTGTTCTAAGGAAAGACAGCCTGCTTTGAATGCTACCCTTCTACACTCAAGAGGTGGCAATGAACAGACCTACCACAGTTAGGAGAGCACACACGGCTTTCTGATTCCAGCAGTCCACTTGATAAGGAGATGAAACATTTGTGGTTTTAGCATATGTAATGTCCATTCCCGGACTCCTTCACATGCATTCCTACATTTAGTTTGGTTAGTCCTCTCTAATTTCTATCATTCTACCAAAACACTTTTGTTAAAGCAACAAGTCTGATCTGAGGTAAGGCAGATTTTACCTTAATCATTAGCTGGACCAGCGAAGACAAATGACTCCAGGTCGAATTAAGATAATAGAAGCCTCACCTTAGTATTACCCACTACTCTATACTGCACCTCCATGTGACATATGAGAGCTTTTCATATGCAGAGAAGATAGTCATTAAAGTTTCACAACAAATAAATGTTAACAGGTTACTCCCATTGATAAACAGCTTAGTTTTCAAGCTACCTCATCATGCTTTTGACTCCTGTATGGATATATGCAGAATTTTTTATTTTTTTATTTTTTTATTTTTTAAATCAATAGATTCAGCATGCATAAAGAAATAACTGTTTCTACAATTATAAAGATACTTAAAAGATATTGACTTTAAACACAGATGTACAGTTTCTGTGGAATTCACATATGGTGCATATGGTTATCTGCTCATCTATTTATTGAAGCTTTTTTTTTGTCTTTCTGTGTCTTCTTCTAAAAATCTTGCAGTCATTTGTGAAAGATTATATGATCTCTATCACAAGACTTCTCCTAGGACTTGATACAACACCAGGATCTGGGTTTCTTTGTTCAGTAAGTTCTAAAAAAGTATATTTACTATTATTACAAAGCAACAGAGAATGTTCCATATGGTCTGCAAAACACCTTTATCTTTGTAGAAGAGTTTCGTTTTTGTTGAATACCAAGAAAGGCCATCTGTTTCCTTTTTCAGCAGGGGGAAAAAGAACTGCAGGAAATTAGTTAGAAACCATGAATAGTTTAAGTTACTAAAAAAAAAAAAAAAAAAAAAAAAGCATAGAACAACCACCAAATTAACCAATCCACCCCATCACAAAAAACAAAATACATGCTCTGAAGCATAAAGAAACACAGGAAATACAGGAAAAAGCAAGAAAAGTGCAAGTTTGTTTGTTATTATTTTAATAGATGTATACAGCAGTTCAGTAACCAATTTTACTAACCAAACACAAGGGCTGCTCCAGAACTAACACCTCCTATTTATTATTTTGCTCATGGTGTCAGAGGCAGACACTGGTGGTATGACAGCAGAGGTTGAACCTTCCCACCAACATTCCATTATATTTTGTTACCATGGAACAGATGGCAACAGAGTGGCAGTCAGACAAAATGACATCTGACATGGAAGTGCATTTAAAGCAAAGGTGTGCCACTGAATTCCTTCCTGTGAAAATATGGCACCTACTGAATTTCACTTAGGCTTGCTGAAAATCTAGACATCACAGGATGTATGTCATTGTATGGACATTGTATGTCAACTCAGTGAGTGGTTCATTTCAGCAGTGGTGAACATGAATCATAAACCACGTTCTGGACATGCTGAGTTTTATGAGCACAGCACATAGGCTCTTGCTCGTTATTGCTGAAAATGCATAGCTAATAGCTGTGATTGTATTGAAGAAATGGTGTTTTGTAGCTGAAAATTTACTCTATCAAATAATGTTATTACGCTCTTTGTATCTATTTTAGTTTCCATGGAAATAAGTAGGAGGTACTACTTTTAGAACAACCTATATTTATCAAAAACAAGAAACTCTTCCTGTATAGTACATCCTGACTAGTATTTATTCCTAATGCTATTTTACAAGTGTTTCCAATCATAGGTAATGAAGGACAAAATTTAGTTTTATATAAATAAGCATCAATACGCATGCCTAAACTGAAGTTATTTGGTTATTTCAGTGCAGTTCAAAAGTCTATATCCTCCATGCAGTTAAAAATATTATAAGTGGGTTACTCTATTCAACTTCATTTTCCCTCATACCCGCCAACAACAGCAGCAAAGATACAAGTCAAAGTTGAGTCATTTGCCAGTTGCTTTGTAGTGAAGTATAAAGCATTATAGATTGTTGCTCTCAAAAATGAAGTTTGCTCTAATTGCTTTAATTAATGCTAATTTGAAAAAGTTTTAAAGAAAACCACTGCAGAAGTTGTAGGTCAATCATTAACTTAGTTACAGTAAATGCCAATTAGCTGTATCTCTGACAAGATACTTGTGCAACTTGAAATAAAGCTTATGTAAGCTGTTAGTTATTTGAAATTAATTTAAGAATTCATTCTTACGTATTAATGTTTATCATATTGCCTTCTTTCCTTCTCCCAAATACTCCACATGCAGCATAAAGCACAGTTACCTGGATGCATTCAAAATACGTGCTTGTTCTTCAGTCTATCACCGGTTTCTTACTACTGCTAATACTTAGTTCATCCTTTTACATTTTACTCATATATATGAACATCATGTGAAGGAAATTTTTGAGCAACTTCAAAATAAAGACAGGTCATTCCATCAGACTGAACCATTTGCACTGCAGCATCTCCCAAATAGAGAGCAAGGGAACAGGGTCTACAAACTCTAGAAATTTCAGGTTTATTGTGGATGAAAGGTACAATGCTACAATATGATCATTATCAGCTAGCACCTGGTTCCAAAAAAATTTCAAGAGTGGTATGATGAACAAGAGGTAAACCCTCATGAGTTTAAGTTTTCTTCCTATTATTATTTGTTCAGATGAAAATCACAGAAGAGGATTTATGGATTAGGACATATGCCAGACTATATCAGAAACTTTGTTCTTCTACAGGAGACATTCCAATTGGAGTCTACAGGACAGAATCCCAAAAGCTTACAACGTCTGAAGTATGTCAGTTTACTATACTCTTGTGATTTGGTTACCTCTTATTAAAAGAATATTGGGGATGCCATGTCTGCAAATGCACTTAATTCCAACCCACTGAAGGTCACCATCTGCTGATGCATATACAGTCAGATTAACACTCGGCCCAGTCTACATGCAGATTTTCATTCTTTTTCTCATCTACAAAGAAGTGGCTGACTGAAGGAATAGCACAAGCACAGGTAGGACAGGCTCTGAGAGTTAGCTCTAGTCTGACCTTGCATGTAGTGGCAACTAACAGCATTATCAATAAGCTGTAATGACCAGTGCAGGAAACCTCTAAGATTATTTTCAACACTGATAAGCAGAATATTGCTTTCATATTTTATTCTAATAGGAAAAGAAAGAAATTTAGAAACTCAGCAGCATTTCAGATAAGTTTGCTTTACTTTGAGCATATTATTAACTCATTCTGTTCTTAGGGATTCCATTAAGCGAGCAGCCACCATTTTCAAGTCATCTTTTTTTTTTTTATTAAAGCATAAAATAAGGACAAGGAAACAGCAATAAACCACCAATACTTAACACATCAAAATCAGTCACAGAACCATAAGAACAGCTTGAGGTGGAAGGATCCATAAGTTTACACAAATCCAACCCACTGCCGTGGGCAGGGTTGCCACTCACTGGATGAGGATGCCCAGGTCCCCAGCCAATCTGGACTTGAATGTCTCCAGTGATGATGCATTTTTTTCCTTAACTGTCTTGCTAAAAAAGCAGCATAACTGTACCCAAAGGTAGAAACTTCAGAGTACCTTACTTGGAAAATGTGCCCTGAATCACACTGGTAACAGGCGCCTTTTGCCTTTTATCTTAAGAGAGCACTCATAGCAGTGCAGTGGATGTTGAATTACTTCCTAATGAATTTGAAATATATATGATATATATGTGAAATAAATATGAATGTATATATTAGTTTAGATAGCTTCAAGTTACATAACTTGAATTTCTAAAAATAGGATGTTCAACTACACTACCGAAAACATTTTACTCCACTTCTACTCTTTAATGCCCTTATTCTCTTATCACTTTCCTTTCAAGTCTCAAATATCTATCAGCGTAGAAGAATGGGAAGACACTAAGGACACCAGGGAACAGGTTAACTATCGTAGTAATCATCGTAACTCAACATCTAGTGATCAGTCCGATCACCCCTTGTTACGACGAAAAAGCATGCAGTGGGCTCGACGGCTGAGCCGAAGAGTACCGAGACACTCTGGTAAAACAGCTGAGAGGATAAGCCAGCAACGAATGAACCTTTACAGGAGGTCAGAAAGACAGGAACTTGCTGAGCTTGTGAAAAACAGAATGAAACATCTGGGCCTGTCTCCAGCAGGATACGGTACGCAATACTTAATGAAAATATTAGCATCATGGAAAAAAAGCCTCATCTTAATGGATGCCATGAACTAAAGCGACCACAGTTACTTACAAATCTTCATGTATGGGAATAATCCTAAAGCCAATTTTACACCTTCAGCTTTCTTTACACTGATAACATACCTCTGAGACCTCCAATTCTAAATTCAATTAACTGTAAATTCACTTAATCCAATTGAGGCATAACACTTGTTTGGTCACCTGTTTCACAGGGGCATGATGGTGCTAATGCACTGGTGAATGCATTTGTATAACTTGCTAAAATACTTAGTACTGTAATAATTGTTAAAATTGGTTTTACTATACAGAATTAAACTGCACTGGTAAGAGATCACTTCAGCTTTGTAATTGCACCTGGATTCAGAGTCAATTATTCTCTAGACAGAAGTACTTACAATGGTGCAAAATATGTGATACAGGAACAGAGGAAAGTTACACATAGTAGAAAACAGTCATTTTTTAACCTGCAGAACACACTTCAAACACAGTTCATTACTAAGATTTAGGAATTGCACTGAAACTAGAACTGGGCTATTCCACATTATTTAATTTCCACTGAAAAAGAAGTATGTACAAAATGTTTATTCATTTTAGACCTATTAGTCTCACTGTGACACCCTAGGAAAAGTGTTCAAAGTAAACTACAGAAAAGATAATGTCAGTGATAGCTACAGTTAGGCTGAGACTTTACTTAGCAAAACTTTCTAAAAAAAAAAAAAAGAAATACCAATTGTGTTTTCTCTGTCTTCCACATTCTGACCCACTGGCACAGGTGAAAAAAGGAAACACTTCATATCAACTAAATTTAGAAATGGATGAGAATTTCATATGCCTGCATTTAAGCTTGGCTACTTCCCACTTGCTAACATAAGCCATGTAACACATTGGTTGAAATAAAATTGAGTTGTATTGAGAATTGCTGTAACTGGAAAGAAGTGCAAAAGAATATATTTCAGAAAGAAAGCATGTTTGGAGAGCAGAAAACTCAAAAGTCGATACATCAGATAGTTCTAACTATTTGGTATTACCTTGGCACCTGATATATTTTGTTTGTCAACTCTGAGACAAAAAAGATAAACTTTCAAAATTAGGTTGTTACAAATTATACTTTTGATTATATGTTTTTAAATCTAATTTGGTACATTTATCTTTGTCCTCTAGATGAAATGAATGATCATCAGAACAACCTTTCTTACATCCTGATCAATCCTTCTCCAGATACAAGATTAGAGCTGAATGATATAGTGTAAGTTAAAGAAAAAAAGTCACAAGAAGTGTAAAGTTTCTTCTCTCATATTTCTGCTCAGGCAATGGAGACACATTGCCATGCACCTGAAAAATGGATGGAAAAGATGGAGACTTCTATCTAAATAGACATGTAATGGTACTTATATGTATACATAAACATGTATTTAATTCTTTATGTATGATGGTGTAAAATACATATTTTTTGATATCCGCTTAACTCCATTTTCTCTTATCTTGGTCTGCGTATGCATAAAAACTAACCAAGTTCACTGGATATCTTCACAGAATTAATAACCTTGCTTATAATCAAGCTACCCAGTTTTAACAGGAAGATCAACCTTTTGAATCAGTGCTTTCAAATGGGATTTTGCAGTGGTCATTGAATCCATGATACAGCAGAAAAAAAACATCTCCTACAATATTTGTGCTTAAGATTATTTGAACACAAATAGCAGGACCTAAATGCAGAAATTCCCCCACTCACAAATTCCAGAGAAATTAAAAATCATATTAGATAATATTCAGCTTTGAACTACCATATAAGGAATCTGTAAATGCTGAGACAGTTTAACTGCACTCAACGCAGCATTTGCAGCAGTTAGAATTTCTAGTTCTTTCTCAAGAGGAGGGGTTCATCTTGAGTGTATCAGCGTATATCAAATGTATCAACATCATGCTTTTTATTTGTTGAGTGTAGTTAGAAGTGTGTCCCTAGCTTTCACACAAAAATTTTATAATTTACTCCAATTTACTTTTGCCCCTTCTTCAAAGCATAATGAATAAAGCAAATGCATAAATACAGAGAGTTATTGGCAAACTTTTGTGTTCGGTGACCATAGTGGATTGCTCAGGAAAACAGCTGATGCATCCAAAGGTCAAATGGGCTCTCAGACAAAATTAAGGTTTATCTGTGTCTAGTACATACAGATGATGCCTAGGTAGACACAGTGTGAAACTACTATCTAATGTGAGTGGACTTGCCAACTTGTCCAAGTTAACCAACAGAAACAGGATTAAGTCTAACTCTTCCTCAGAACTTCCCAACAACATTATAATAGTATGTTTACTAATCCTTGCTTGTGCCAAGTCTGTTCAATAAGAATTGTAATTTCTTTTGTAGATACTTGATCCGACCTGATCCATTGGCTTATGTTCCAAACACAGCATCCAGCCGAAAAGACAGCTTCTGCAATACAGTGGGACAAGATACCAGAGAGGAAACACAACTTTGATATGCAATTCAACAAAATTAACAGTTTTATACATATAGTTTCCTCCAATCATTTTGAAAACTAAGTGGTACATTTTATTCAGTTTTTGGAAACAAAGTGACAGTGGGTAAGTCACTAATTTTAGAAACACGGTCTCTAGAAACTCTTATGAGTTTCCTCATGATTGTCCATCTTGTAGCCTGTTCAACATTGTAGTTGAACTTCAGTTTAGCAGAAAACTGTTTGATTTAACCAATATGAAGAAATGATTAAAGAAGAGACTCCAAAATGTTTCACTTAGAAGCTTCTAAGTATATCTATCAAGGTGGCAGCATGTCTGCAAGTAAGCTCCCGACATAAATCATAAAAGATTATCTGATGTCCATCAAGGGATCATGTATGCGTAGCAGAAAACAAGTTAATATTTAAAGTTGTCAAAGAGGATGTTTGTGCCAAGAATACAACCTCTGAGATAATTTTCAAGCTTAACTTGTCACCCATTTATATTTGAACAGCCTTGTTTTACTCCCATTATGGCCTCTAGGACTTGAATGTTTGCTCTGTGAGTTTACAGATGACACAGCTTAGTCACACTGTAGAGATTGACCTGAGGCACATCTACTGAAAAATTAGCTCAGAGAAGCTCAGAGAACCTCACAGAGGCATTTCAAGAAGGAACAATTCATAGAGCAAGCAAAGCAGAACCTTTAAAGGAATTATATAAAAGCAGTCCTTTACATTTGCAAAAATCTGGTAAGAATATGTGAAGCTACAAACAGCTGTAGCTCAGATGAAAAATGAATCATTTAACATGAATTTTCAGTCACAGAACGGCTTGGTTGAAATGGAACTTAATTATCATCAAGTTCCAATCTACCTGCCATGAGGAGGGTTGCCATCCACTAAATCAAGTTGGTAGCAAGAAGACTCAATGGATGATGCCAAATGCAAGTGTCTCTCCAGGGAGCAACTAAAACCACAGATCGTTCCCACTCCCATGGCGATGTCAGAACTCCAACTGTTCAAACTACAAGCATACCCCATTCATATTACCCAAATATGATACTTGTTCATATGAAACTACATATCATAATGAAAACAAGAAAAGCTTGTAATCTATTCCACAAAATAAATGGAGCACTACATTAAATGGATTTGAAGGCTTTGGCATTCAATACGCAAGAAAGCATCTACAGTGTATGAAGCATCTGAAGCTGCTACAGAATCTCCAGTCTACATATACAAGAATCCCAGAAGTTTTGGTCAAGAATTTACTTACAGAAGTAAACATAGTTGTACACAATCTTCAAAACATTCTTGCTTTGCCATTGATCATGAAAGGGGAGGAAGGTCCTTAAGGTTCAAACCATCCTGCTACAACAATCAATACAGGACTGTTACAAAAAAATTGACATGTGGACTGAAGTGGCAGAACCAATAATTCTTTGAATTCCCTTGATGTTCTCTGTGTACAGAGAAATCCTCTCTAAAAACATTTTTTTTATTATTTGGAAAAAAAGCATAGCTGATATTGTTCTGAAAAATAAAATGCCAAGCTGCCTGAAGAACAAGCAAGTATGCTTATCAGTACTGCAAGTATGTTAAAAATCACATCACACTCCTATTAGGAATAACACAAGGTCTGCTATTATTCCTTCTCTTCCTCTTAATTTTTCCAAAACTAAACTGTAAGGAATTAGAGGTCTTAGAGCAAACCAAAGCAATCAGATGCTTCAAAGCAATTGAAACAATTGCTCATACCATCTCTTAGACAGAATCTTGTCCAGATTGCATCATAGAAACTATCACATAGAAATAATTGTTTGTAAAATGAATAGCCTTCTATTTTTAATACCTTCAGAGAGAAGACTATGCCAGTTGTATGTTTCCAAGCAAGAGAAGTGTTTTATAAAATGTTCACTCCAAAATATTAGAACAATTCTGTGTTTCATACTGAAGGTCTTTCTAACACAGTCTCAAGTAGGCAAACAGAATTTCAGAAACATGCCTAGTATCCACAACCAGCAAGCTACTCTGCTTTTCACACAGTATATCCTGGAGTCATCCAATCCAGACATTATCTGTACATTGCCTGAAGTAACCGCAACAGATTTAAAGACTCTCTGCCACAAGAATAGTTAGGGCTCCATGCCTGGCATTTACCATCTTATAAACAAGTAGAAATAAGTAGTTAGGCATATCCATTTTTCTACCCAACTCAGTGGAACAGTAGCATCTACTGTCACTTGATATTTCCTAGACTTGATGGATTTTTAATTGCTCAATAGCCCTAGAGACAGGTAGAGACAACTTGCAGCATGCCTAAAATAAAGCAAAGATAATTTTTCTGAATATAAATGCTTGGTTCTTTTCAAATTCTACTGGAAGATGAGCAAGGTAAAAGCTAGCAGCTTCTTTTGAGACAAGTCTAATAACACCTTGATGATGCACTGCTCTATGCCGTGATTCAAGATGTGCCACCTTTCATGCTGGAAGCAGAACAGCTTTGCTTCCCCAGGCACGTCTGCAGACCCCATTCTAGTGGGATTTAAGCCTTTCAAGAACCATACCGAGTACTCTACATTAACACTGAATGAGATAGCACGCATATTCCTTGATGGCCATGAAGGCAGTTCTTTGAGGATCACTTTACAGGCAATCTTGCGTTCACATGCTTCTTGCTAAGATTATCAGCAATATAATACAGCTGGACTGGAGATCAAGTTGAGAAAAAGTAATATCCATGCTCAATGCTAGAGGAGGGATGACAAAGCTTCAGAGTCATTGGGTCCAGAAGACTTGAACAGAGTTGTGTCTGATGACAATTCACTCAGTGAATACAGAGATTAAACTTATGATCATTTACAAAAGCAAGTGATTAAATTCTGAACCAACTGTCAGAAGCCAGATGGCCAAATAACATCTTTTCCCCACTCAATCAAAGAAAACAGCAGATTTCAGTCTGTATTTAACTGTATGTACTTTTTTTTCTTCTCTTTGTAACTCGTATTAATAGTAAATCAGACATGCTCTCTTTACCAAACACTTCCTTGAACAACTACGAGGAAACCTGGAAGTCAAAGGGACGAAACATGTTATTTATTCTACAATAAAAAGTCACAATAGGTATTACCGTGGAATACATTGTGTTTCCTTTACTGTTCCACTCCAGTTCCAGAACACGCACTAACACAACTTGAGTTCTCAAAATCTGTAGTAGTGTGAGTTAATGAAGTTTTCATTTTAATTTCCAAGTCAAACTGTTATAATATAGTTCCTTCAACCATAGCTTCCTACCTTTGTAGCAAATCGTGTACTTCAAAGTATTTAAGTTACTGAAGACTTCTTATACATCTGTTTACTACTGCACCAATAAAATGCAAAATAAATAGTTTTTGGGTTTCTGCTATGGAGGAAAAATTAAGTAACAGCAAATGTACCCAAAACAACACAATTCTGTAGTTTCTAGGCAGTAAATCCTGAAAACAAGTATTTTGTAAATTTGAAGCACTGATGTATGAGGCTTTGATGAGCTGAAATCTACTTGATATCTGAATAAAATCAGTCATTACAATCCCAAAACAAATTAATAAAAACAAGCAGTACTACCTAATAATATCAAGTACACAAGATTATTTAGAAATCTGTTTTCGAGCTAGAGGCATAAATGCAGATATCTGCTTAAAATATCATGCATATTCTTCATATGATGCACTAGGAAACAGACATACATTGAATATATGTCTAAAGGACTGCACTTCAACTTTCTTACCTCTATTTTTTTTGCTTGATGCAGAACATACATTAAAGGGAGAGCAGAGAAGTAATGAACACTATGAAAGATCACTAAGACCTTGCTGATCATCATCTTTAGAGGTTGCAAAAAAATATTAATGAACTATACAAGAAAATCATTATTGTCTATACTAGTGATGCGATGATGCTGTCAAATAACGGATGTTGAACACAAGTATGAACTCCCAGAGACTCAAGAAACTTAATTAGGAAAATGCTTCTGCTTTACAAAGTAAAAAACAAGAATTTGATGTTTTTACAAACTAGTTTTCAATTTATTATGTAAAATTTGGATACTTGCTAGCACTGTAAAGTAGGATAAATTTCTCTAAAGTTTTTTTCTCCTCAGATCAAAAAAACAGAGTGAGGGATATTTATTCTCACTCCCTTCTTTTCCTTAGAGGCTGACTTAACAACTGTCAGATACTCAATGGAGAAACATAAAGCAATTGCCATTCTCCTTGTCAAAAAGAAAAGCTGACTTTCTCCTAATCTGCTCTTCCTTATCTAACTACCAAAAAAATAAAGAAAATATGTTGAAAGGAATTAGAATGTATCCTGAGGAGAGTCTTGTCTACCCAGAAGTTTTGTCACCACTTAGGTGAACTCCACAATGCAAATCAACATAACCTGAGGCCTTCCATCCCACAAGAATACTATCTTCTTTAAAATAAGGTACTGTTTAATGCATTTTCTCAACAAGATAATCTAGGAAGTGTTAAATGTATAATATCTATGTCAACTTGTTCAATTTTCAGACTTCCATTAGCTACAGTATACTCAAGGACATCAACTCAAGTATTTTTAATATCAGCTATCAAGGAACAAAGAATAGGAACTACAGCAAAATTCTCAGCAAACAGGATAAAATAGAGGACAGAGTAGAGATGTGCTAGTCCTCAGAAAGCCCCAATAAAAACTTAGATGATGTAAGAAACCGCCATAACCACAAACTAAGACAATAAATGCAAAGAGATCTCTGATATTTATAGATACCTATAAAAATAATAGAGAATGCAGACGTTAACCCCAAAGCAAGATACTTAGTAACAGAAACACAGTAGAATATGGAATTGATTTTAGCCACGCTTGTTATTTCACTACTTCAAGTACAGCTATGGTTTCCATACACATAAGAATCAGCAGTTAAATTATTGATCCAGCTGGTTTGCATAGACTGAAGTTCATTTATTATTTAAGTTCATTTTATAGTTTTAATATACATTAAATCACAGCTGTGATTAAAGTAATCTAATACAACTCTCAGTGCTATAATTGCTATCTCCTACATCTGTAGGCACACTTGAAGCTCAGTGTCCTGTTGTGGGACAGCAAAACAGTAAGGGTATCTTTAGCATTTTTTTTCATACTCATTTTTTTCCCTAACTAGGTGGGAAATCCACTGCCAATGAAAAGACATTTTTCTAGAAAACAACTGAACCATGAGATGCTTTATTGCAACAACTTTTCCCCAGAGCCAATGTAATTACTCAGTTATTGGACAGACTGCTGTTCTCTAGGTAGATGCTTTAATCAAGAACACATACTGCTTATTCTTCAGTATTTATACTAGTCTGTCTTTGAAGCATTCAAAAAAATCATTATTAAACCTTCATTTCAGCAAAACAAAGCTTAGTAAAAACAATCTGGACATAGCTTTGTTATTAAGTGGAGGCAAAAGTAATACATTCATGTTAGGTGTACTAAGTCCTGGGATGTACAGAGGTAGAAAATGAGCTCCACTCTGAGCCAGTCATTTTTACAAAATTACATGAGTCTAAAGCATCAACTAGACTACTAGGAAGTAGAAATTCTCATTGCCAAAATGAAAAAAAGTAGTTAAGTCCTGTCCTTTCCTCTAGATTAACAAGCACAGAGATTTTTCTACTTCGTACCTGACTCTTGAATGGAAAGTAGAAGAGACCAATGATTATCTCTCAAATGCATTTAGACTAAGAAGAAAAGTAACAGATTCACAACAGGAGCTAGTTGCAGAACATTAGTCTTCAGAAGAAAATCTTCTGGTGTACACACTAGCAAGACACCACTTACTAACACAAGAGAATTTCCACAGATGCATATTGAACGTTCACAAATGACTTTGGCCTTGCCTCACTCACAATGTGCCCCTTCCTTCAAGGACAAGCTGTAGCTTTCTAAAAAAAAAAAAAAAAAAAAAAAAAAAAAACAAAGACACCCAGAATCCAAAGTATTTGCAACTGGTTCCAATCAAGCTCTGGAGTTAAATTCTTATGTAGCCCTCCAATTCATCTCAGGTGTTAAGTGTTTCCACTAATAAGCTACATGAATTACTCTGTGCAAATTATCTGGCTACTGCAGCCCAGCTGTATCATCTGCAGAGAAGCCTTACAACACAGTAGACAAACACAAGATAAAAATAAGAGCAATTTCCTCTGGCTTTTTTTTTTTTTTTTTTAATTTAGCTTAGGCAATGGGAAACAAAGGGAGATGTTGATTACTTTTGCTGTAACAAGGCCTGTTTCTTTAAGAAAATTCCTTAGTCACTATAGGAGTTTTATTACCAACTTGAACAAGAAAGAAAACATCTACATGCAGGTACAAACGATAGCTAGAAATATATAGAGACACTTGGTTTACCAGCCCTCCCTTTATAAACTTGGACTTTTTAAACGTTGATGAACAACAATACTGAATCCACATTTGAGAATTATGTAACTCATCACATCCCACCCTAAGACCATTTCATTATCACCAGCTGAAGAGCTACTGTCAGCACTGCCTCCATCACATAGTAGAAGCAAAAAAAAAAAATTCCTTTAATGCTTTCAGGAAATGGTGAATTGACAAAAAATGAAGACCTCAATACAGCTGAACACCGCTCAGATATAATAAGCTAACTATAAGCTTTTTACTTAAAGGAATCCAATGAACAAAACTTTCAAATGTTTCACAGTACTTTGAGGTATTCAGTATTCTTGATGCTTGCTACGCTTTTGCTATACACTCACAGTGCTTATGGCATACGAAGTACTACTCTGTACCAAATAACTTCAGTTTTCAGGCTAACCTCTTCAAATAATTTATTAATATGCCTAGAAGGGAGAGGAATACATTTCAGCTTAAGAACAGCTAAAATAATGAGTTCTCTCTGGGCATCTTAAAAAGCTATGCAACTGTTTGGAAAACAATCCTGATTACAACTGCAAATCAATATAATATCCGAGGCAACAAATTACATTTTAAATTGGATTGCACTGGTAATTTTTCTTCTAGGTTACATACATCCATTATAAAAAACTGCACTGACTAGAAAATGGTGGAATGGAATATTTCTATACGAGGCACTACAAAAGCAATTGCTTTGAAACAGAAAAAACTTAGGTCTTAAAATATGATAGCCTCCTCCAATACCTTCTGAAGTACAGAAGTCCCTCAAATGAAGGTCAAGAGACCAAGTAAAAAAGAAAATCCCATTAGTTCAGTACTAATAAGCAGAAATGTAAACAACAAGCCAGCAACTATAAAGCCAATTAAAAAAATCTTGTTACTGATTAGCTTTTTCAGAGATAGTTTTAAGTTATTTTATGAATGCAAAACTTATTATGTTTTAACCAGCCAATATCAGAACTAGAAAATAATCTTACATTTGTATTTCCTGAGATTAGTTTTACCTTAGTGCAGGAGTCTGACACAGCAAAGTTACTTTGCCAACATCCTTGCAACTGCAACAGTGGGAACGTTTCTGAAATAATTAAGAATTTCTCATAAGAAGATGATCATCAAAAGAGAAAGAATACGTAGTTCAAACCTCCCCCATAACTGTCTCCCAGGCCAGCAACTCCAGTGCAGCCAGAGAGACCCGCAGCCTTCAACAAGCTGACCTAAGCCAGGCCTAATTTGCACCACTCCAAAACACTGAAGCCATTTCTATAAGCAAAGTTCTAGCACGTAAACCAAAAGAGGCAGAAAGCCTTATCCCATTTCCTAGCAACATGATACCATCTCAGAAGGTTTCCTAAGCCATTGCATTCCATTAGCATTTTGAAAGTTTCCCCACATTTTGAGATACTTTCACCACATAAACTTTACCCTTTCAGAGTGCCTACCATAGAAGCTCAAGCTCATTATATTCCTCCTAGTACTGTAAATTTGTTCACTTCCAACAAACTCCCATTTACTTAAAACTTCTCCCCAAGACTCCACCCCTACTCTTCTCCCTGCCTATAACTTACAGCTTGCTTGTAATTCCCCAATCAGTAGAAACACCTGTGCCTGCAACCAGCCTTAAGAATCAGCATCATGTTTTAAATAAGGGTGTATTTATTTCACCTACAGATTAGAATCTAAATATTTCTCACAAATTCAACAGTAAAAATATGAATTTGAAGAGGTTTTCTACCATGACTAGCACAAAATTGGATCTCACTTTTTAAGGAATATGTTGTTCTGGGAACAGATAAAAAGTTATGAAATAGTTTAGGAAAAATGTGTTACAGAAAGAAAGCAAAATTTAATAGCATGTTCTCTACAAAGAGACGTGCCAGATGCACATCTCTATTTGCTAGTGATTGCGTTATTCTAATTGTGCAGTCATAACACACATCAATTTGACACACTCAGTAAACTTTGCTAAATAAACATTCTTTTTCTGATTTAATTGGAAAACTTGCATCAGCAAGTTTTTGGAGCCCTGGTACAGCATCCTGAATCAAGTCCCTTCTCATGAAGAATTATTATCGCTCTAAAGTCTTGGTTCTCATCCAAATGCTTCTGCAATCAATCAGAACATCAGCAAGCTTTAGGTAGGTTTCTATAATCATATAAACTTATACAGTCACAGAATCACAGGATCATGCTCTTTGGATAAAGCTCAGAAAGTCTGCATACACATCACCTGCTCAAAGCAGGGCCAGAAATGTTCCCAGACCAGGTTGCTCAGGGTTTTGTCCAGCCTGATCCTGCACAATTCCAGTGATGGAGGCTGGACACCTTCCACGGGCAACCAGCTCTACTGCTTGCCTGTCCTCACAGGGAAAAGGTTGCTCTATACATCACCTTAGCCTCTTTTGTGTTACTCTGTGTCCTGTCTCATCCTCCCAGCAGAAACCAATGGGCAGAGCCTGGCTTTACTGTCTTGATCGCCTTCCTATAGTTGTTACCAGGGACTGCTGTCAGATGCCCCCAAAGCTGCCTCTTCTTCTTTAGCTTGAAAAGCTCAGTTCTCTCAGCCTCTTCCCACAAAGCCTGTGACTCAGCCTCATGCTGTATAGGAATTGTTTATGGTTCATAACTTCAAATTTGTTTTGAAAGGGGTGAAGGTAATTGTCAGTTCCTCCATGGTGGAAATGTTGGTATCACAAAACACAGAGAGTGGAAAAGACTTTTCTTCACATACGTGCTGATGTGAATAAAGTTGTACAAACATTTAGCATTTTGTAAAAGAGTTTGAAGAGTTTATTATTTTTTACTTTTCCTTGGGTCTCTATGATATATTTTGCTGCATAATAGCAACATACTTTTTGCCTTTTACTAAAAATCCATCAATAAAGAGATTACTTCATTTATTTCCTTGTCATGAAACAATCTCTTTCCCCTTTCAACTGTATTTATTTGTTTTCTTGGTAAATTTTAAGTTTGAGAGTCTGCCAATAATAACTATGTATTTAGAACTGGATGCAGAGTGAAAAAGGGAACTTAAAAAATTTATAAAGCATTTTCTCATTGAACATATATTGCAAGAAAATTGATATCTAAGCTTGTCTGGTATTGTAATAATAGTCTTTAGCTGTTTTTCATGATTGTCATTTTCTGCTGAAGTCAATGACACAGTAAAACAAACAAAAAACAAGAATAAGCAAAAGCAACTAGTAAAGACAAATCCTGAACTACCTTAAAAATAGTAATATAAAACTCTTCTGTGTTACAGATTGCTCCAATTTTTGCTGCTATGAGTTACTTTTTCTCATAAAGTCACTCGACAAAATATATACAAAGCATTTCAAGCAGACAGCTCTCATATCTCTATTCATTTAACAGTTAGTCTACTTTTCTGAATATAATCTCCCTGGCATTTCCAATTTTTTTGTGACATGGTAACAATCAATTACTTATCTGGAAAAAGGTTAGCACTCACAGTTATAAAATATAGGTATGATAACTAGAATTCTCACCTCTATCTGCAGGGCAGATCAGCTAAGCTGTTGCTGGCATAATAGTGCAACACCAGCTTGAATTAGAAGAAAGCATAAATAAAAATATCTAATTTCTTCAACTGTTCATTTTTGGCCATTTTGACCAAGACTCTTGATAGTTAACATTTTCATACATCAGATTTTCTTTGAGCAGTTCAAATCCTGGGACTTGGTGGACAACATGTAGAAACAACCTGCTAACCGAGAGAAAAAAAATCATGAAAAGAAACAGTCCATAACCTTGACTTGAACAGTTCATAAGCTTGAATTTCCTAACGGAAATACATTTTACGTTTTTCTGAACAACTGCAGAAAACTTTTCTTCTCTGCAGGAAGACAGATAATTAAGTTCATTCATTGATTATCATAATGTATGTTTCTAAAATAATTGGGATGCATATATAATATTCTCACTTTCTCACTTCAGCTTCAGCTAAAGTACTGATATGATTGCTGTCTTGATTCCTATATCTATCAGATAAGTTTCTTCCATAGTTATAGGGAACTTTTTTCAAGCTATTCCATTAACCCAACCAGTCTGTCCACTCAATAACTACTGTGAAGGCCATTTAATTCTAACTGGGACTAGCAAACAATATTCTCAGTCAGACAGAAATTTACGATGTATAAAAGATGTTCTGAAAGTAATGCCTCCTGTTTTATTTTGTTGGCCCATGATTTCAGAGGTGGATGTTGATGGGATGGCAGAAGAGGTTCAACCTTTCCACCATTATCCCCGTTACGCGTTGTTGCCATCTAACAGACAGCAACAGAGGGGCAGTCCAACAATATGGTGTGTGACGTGGAAGTGCGTGTAAAGCAAAGTTGTGCCAGTGAATTGCTTCATGTGAAAAAAATGACACCCACTGGCATTCACTGATGCTTGCTGAACACTTCCACAGACCGAACAGTGGATGTGAGCACAGAGAGGCAGTGGGTGGTGTATTTCACTATTGGCAGCAGTAATAGTGGGCCACTTCCTCTGGTGTGTATTTTCATGTGGATGGTGTGCTGGCTCTTGTTCATCGCTGGTAAAAATGCACAGATAATGGTCATGCTTAAGTTGAAAAATAGTGTTTTGTAGATGAGAATTTGCTCTATCAAATAGTGGTATTGTGCTCTTTATAGCTGTTGCTGTTTCCAGGGAAATTAATAGGAGGCATTACTTTTGGAGAGACCTCACATAGACATTTTGACTAAAACTTCTAGATTATTAAGTATTATGTTACTTTTTGTTACTTTTTCCTTAATTATGAAGCTACTTTGTACACGCCTGAATATCCCAAAATGGAATTTAATATCTTGCTATCAGATTACTCTATCAGCATTTACTTTCCCTCGAATTTATTATATTTCCATAATAATACCTAAATTGATATGTTTTGTAAAATGTTTGCATATTTGAATACAAAAAGTAATAGTAGCTTTACAGAGCGATAGAGATCTGGCAAATCCTGTTAGATTTTCTGAAAAGAAAGCTTTTGTACTCCTATTACTATCAGTAATTCAGTAGCATGGATATAATATGCTTTCTTCTTCAGTCACACTGGAAAGCTATCTGCATATATGAAAAGATACTTTGACTAATTACAGCTGAGTAATTCATATGAATACATTAATTCATTATTTGTTTATGAAAAATGGTTTCAATGCATCTTTCCTGTTTTTCTTCAGTGTAACTATCTGATATGATCTCTTTCTGTATTTTAAAAAGGCTTAAGAATTAACTGGGGTCTCATCCAAAACAAATTAATGTATACCATGCAGTATTCAGTCAGCCATTTTGAGAGAGAAAGCTTGCTTCACCATTTTCATTTAAAAAAATGAATAAAAAACATTTGCTGTTTTGTCCATTTTACCTGACAGATATGTTTCCTCTTTTTCAGTGTTTCCCAGCAGAATATCTGCTCATCTGTGTGGATGTAGTGTGATCTATAATTATGTTTTTGTACAGACAAGGGACATCTGGGACTTTGCACAGATCAAACAATGAAAGATTAGGGGGAGGCAATTTATATATTCTCTTTGCATTGAGATGGAGCCCAAGTAGACATCTTCCAAATGTATATACTTTATCATAACAGGACCACTGACAATTTTGAAGTCAGGTCTCCAGAAAAGATAGCCAGTTCCTGAACAAACAGAGTATTTGTTACCCAGGTATTCTTCTGATAGATCGCATTTGTTTAACACAAATAGGCTTCTATCCATTTATAAAACAATCAGTGAAAGATTTCTGTGGAGGAGTTGACAGAAACCTGAGGAGCTTTTCTATTAGATATATTGTATTAATAAAAACAGCACCATCTGTCTTCATTACAAAGCCTATACCACTACAAGCTGTTTCGTACCCCTCATAGTTTTAAGAGTTAAGTTGTGCGAAGTCCTATTGAATAGTATTATGATTTTGCCTGCTTCCTCCCAGTAGGGCTTTATTTGGATCTTGACTGTCAACTCTCAGCATAAACAATTGAATAACCTTAACTCCAGGAACAAGAATTCAGATCCTCCAATCTCCTGTTAGACCTTCCATGTTGATTTTCAACAGTGGAAGTTGCTATTAGCAATATCAAGAAAGGTGCTTTCTCATTGAGCTTTTTCATTACTAATAAATTAAATTGCTGTGTTAAAATGATTCTTTTTTATTAATTCACACTAGACTCATTTTCAGCTGTAAGTTCACCATTTTTTTTCAATAAGAATTGTTTAAAATTTGGGAGGTTTTTTTTTGACATTTAATTTCAGTTAAAACATCAAGGTCACCAGAATTCAAAGTATAGAAAAATAATATTATACACATAGCGTCTGAATTTATTGCACATGCAGGTCGTTTTATGTTGGATATTTGATCTTTGCAAATCTGGCTTCACTCAAGAGTGCAACACTATCATAATGAATAACTAAATACTGCTACTTTATTTATGACACCTTTTATTTGATATAATCCCACACCTGCACTCCTACACTATACTTTCAGCTTAGGGTAATAAACAGGTACTCAACACAGAATAGTTATTTGCTGTGAAAATAGCTACAATAATAGGCAATCAAGTAATTATAACCAAGCCATTACACATTAGAAAAAAAAAAAAAAAAGAACAAAGCCCCTTGCAGTCTAAGCCAGACCAAAAAAGCCTGGCTTGTCTTGACTCTTATAGATTTCATACAAAAATTGTGAACTGTTGCTTGTTAACTGACCTGAAGATGGAAACAGTAGGTATTTTCTTTATGTGAAAAGTAAGCAAGAGTGGACTTGAGTTTACAGTGTGGAGGATCATCTTAGTTGTGCTGTTGCAATTCTGCTTGTGTGCTGTCGTTCATGGCAATAAAATTCAACTGCATTGTAATGGAAATGGTTAAAGATGAAAACAGTGTCATTCGTTTAGAAACTTTCAACACCATTATTTTAGTTGAACACAATAAGATCAGTGTGAACTCCGACGATTTGAATGAGTAACAGCAACACTGCTACATTTTCATATTTCTGTTCAGCAATGTCCATCTTAAAATAGTATTTCCCTGGTAATCTGAAAAATGGCTTTATTATTGTGTTAAACATTCTTTGCAAAATAAAGAAGCACTCCTGGTGTACAATTAAGCAGTACTAATCCAAAATAGACATTCCTGCTCTCAGATAGGACTCTGCCTTATTCACGTTTACGTATATCAAAGCTACCTCTACTACACTGTGCTGTGAGAGGTGATGCTTCAATTCAGGAGAGGAATTATTTGGATCTTACTAGAAAGTACAGCCTAATGAAGTATGTTTTATGTTACTTGCCCTTATTTTTGATATTAGCATAAACCAGACATCATAAGCACCTTTATAGTACTTATGCTCAGATAAGCATAAACATTGTGCTAATGACATGATAAGCTATTTACTTACTTAGCTCTTTTCTCTGATTATGGAAATAGAAAAAATAGAAATTCTCACTTTTTAAAAATGCTATTATTTAAAATTGTGTTTGTGTCTAAAATACAGCAACTTGCTAAGAACAAAAAATACCCAAAACCAAACATAAAAGCCAGGCTGTGATTTCAAAAATCTCCTTCTTATAGGAACTTTAAATGTAAAGAATTTAGAAAGAGATGAAAGTGTATATAAACACAGTGAACATCATCACCGAGAATAAAGAGAAAGGGGAAAAACAGTACTGTCAAAGGCTAGTCAACAAATTCTCTGTGGATAAGAATGAAACTTTCCATAGCTATTAACATTTATTTTCTTCTTATGTTACATCCAGCAAGTAGATGTAAGAACTATAAAGTACATCCTATACATCCTTCTATTCCTTACTACGTCTGTTGCTTAAATATATTTTATTCTCAGAAATCACAACAATATATGGATAAGAAAAAGACATACAGGAGAGTACTGAGGACTAGAAGAGAGAGTAAAGGTGTTGGCTTCCTGGTCTTTCTCAGAAAATGCCATTCTTATGGAAAGGAAAATTATGTTGCTTTTGCCAACAAAGACAACAACATTTTGGAGCAGTTAGATTAGACTAGAATAGAATCGTTCAGTTGGAAGGGGCCTTCAATATCATTTTCTGATGGCATGATCTAAAGCCCTAACAGGCTTGGAGCACCAACCTTTTTGTCAGGAAGCCTGCTCCTGTTTGACCACCCTGACAGCAAAGAAATTTTTCCTTATGTCCAGTCTGATTCTCCCCTGGTGCAGCTCTGTGTTGTTGCCTCATTGCTCTGAGCAATGTCAACTTTTAAGGCTGGCTTTGAATCTGAGAGTGAACTAAGATGAGTGTGTAGAGATGTACACAGAAAACAGAACAGAGAGAGACCTTAACAGAAGACTGAGATCATAAGCTTACCCAAAATAAGATCAGTTTTAACCAAATCATTTCTGACAGGTGTCTCTATCTCTAACCTGTACTTAATAAAATACTTCAATAATCTAGACCCAAAACCTTCAAAAGCATTGATTCAATGCCTCACTCTTCTGCTTCTTTCCCAAATCAAAACTAAAATAACTGTGCTGCACTAAAAATTAATTGCTTCTTTAAGCATTTGAAACAAACATTCTTTTTCTCTGTAAAGAGCATTTGATGACTTTTACCTTGTCCCTCCTCATAGTTCACACATATATCCCCAGTTCTGATGTGTTTACTGGACTTCTAACCATTCTCCTTCCTTCTCATCAGATCTCTCAAATGGATTGACACTTCCCTGAAAGGAAAAAAACAGATTCAGTGCTTCTGTTGGGGAGCAGAACAGGACTGATAAAAGTTTGTTACATGTAAATTTTTCTAGTTTACCTGATGTGAAGGGTTCTGTAACGATGCCATCTTGTGATCGTGGTTAAAATGTCACTGTCTCAAAATAAGCCACATTTCATTTCTTTCGTATATTTTTTGGCTCAGACAACCTCAGGCTCAGAGTGAATAGACAATGTTAATTATCAAGCTGATAGCACGGAATACTAGTTTCTGTCCAATTTCTTTGCTTGACCTATCACGATTATCCTCATGATTAGCTTTTCAGCAAGTAATTAGGTCGTCATCAGGTGAAAAGAAGGTACCAAACAAAAGTGCCAGTAGATCCAGATTATAAAAAAAACAACCATAAACAGCAGAATATTTGTATATGTGCAACTGGCACTATAATTTTCTTTATATTTCTTACAAAGCTTTCTGTTCACTTTAGGAATTTAAAGATACCAGCATGATCAGGTGTCTGCAAAGAAATCGGTGCAATACACACACACAGTACAATCAGGAATGTATTGAATTTACTAGTATATATAAGAAGGCGACAAGATTACACAGGAATGGGATTTTGAGGAATTCAACTGAAAAACACGAATCAGAAGAGATTATATTTTAGAACAGTTGAACAGTTGATTCTAACAGAAGCCTAATGAGAGCCATTTGCAGGACATATTTGCTCCACTGACCCTGCATGCAAAGACGTCCCCTTCATGAATTGAATAGCTCTTTTCATACTCCAATCACTTGTATATACATCCATGCAGAGCATTTTCTTAAACATATCAGGATAGTTTGCAAAAAAGGTACCTTAGATACATTGGAAAGGTTAAGGTTAACATTTCATTTTAGTCTGTGCAAGGCTTTCCCTTGCTTGTCGCAGCTCTAACTGGATTCTTGAACTACATTTATCAAATTTCACGTTCTGGTTACACAGAAATGAAACATTTTTCATTTGTATTTAAATGTTTTGCTGAAATGCCCTAGAAGTTGAACTGGAAGAATATACAAAATTGTAGTTCAAAACAAAACTAGTAACATTTCTATTGGTCTAATAGGCATCCCTTTCTAATAACATAATCTTAGCTAGGCCTCTAGATGGTAGTCTAATATCACTGGTAATAACAGGAAATTTCTGTAATGGAGTGTGAATGTTTTCCCTTGTATCCCTGGTCAGTAGCAAGCTCATGTCAAGAGGCAGTCATAAAAGGTATGATCATTCATCATAAAACTAGCTGGAATTGTCATAAAACTAGCTGGTTGTTCCAGTCTGGTCTTTACCAGAAAATTGTCAGTTTTCCTCTAGCTGAGTTTGCCATAATAATTGGCCATGAACACCAATTATTCTCTAGAACAGACCAGTTAAAAAGCTCCACTACAATAACACAAAAAATCCTCACTTATTTATAATGTTGCTGTAGAGTAAAAGATTAAAAATTTCATTTTATTCTATCACATATTTAAATACTACTTTAGTGTTAGCAATCTTGCCAGCTCCAAACAGCCTTGTTGAAAAAAGAATTCTGAGATGATTTATCAAGTAGTGTTTTCAGTACGAAATTTAGTAGACTGAAATGCATTTAAACTGCTTTTTGTTTCTGTCCTTGCTGTTTAGAGTATTTACCAACAAGGTTAATCAAATCATAATACATCTAAGCATAAGTTGTGCCAAGAAATATATATGTGTTTTCTGCATTAAGCGATAGCTTATAATGACAGTTCATTGCATTGAAGTAATGCAGTAAATGTTTTTGGCGCATACAAAACTTTACTTGCAATGAACAGAGTTGCTGAGTTGGAAACAAAATTTTTAAAACCAGTTCAACAAAGATTGAAATGTATTTTCCTACTCAGTAAGTACACCACAGTAAATGGACTCAGTTTTTATCATGACGCTGTACAATACAATGTACCTAAAGTAATGAGATATTTTGCATATCTTTGATCACCTCAGAGACTGGATTTTGAAACAAAGGGTAGGACACATTTTTCCTGAAGCCATGATATTTGCAGTGGAAGTACATTTCTAGCATGCTGTCTGCATTGTGGAATTCTCTTGAACAGACTGGAATTCATAACACAGAAACCACATGGGAATTTATGAAAAAATATTATAACATTTGATGTATATAACTGAACTAGGAAAACAATAACATCTGTAAAAATCTTAAGTTGATAAACATTAGTGGTAAGCCCTTACTTCTTGGATTATTTGCACTCTTATTCAGTTATATCCTTTTCAGTTCTCTTTCTGACTTTTTCTAGAGCAAAAAACATAGCTAAAAAATGTAGCTGAACTATTAAAAAAAAAGCACGGGTAGGAAGAAGCATTCAGATGTGCTCAATTTTTTTCACTGACTTCCAATGTTCTTCCATTTGCTACCTCATATTTAGACCTATACTATTTTTACTTGGATTTAGAATCAGGTTTTGAACTTCAGAATATTAATGCAACTTTATCATGTATAAAAAAACACAGTTTTGAACAATCATAGTTTTTCTCATAAAGATAGGGGTAGCATACATGTGGTAATAAAAGGATACTACGTTCAGTGGAAAAAGCAATGTAAAGTAAAATCAATTTCAAAGAAATTTAAAATGTTTTGGATGTTTATTGATGCAGTTGCAAAAATATTTTGAAGTGGCCAAGGTTTCCAAGAAACTGCCAGCACTAGTAAAAATAACTGTGACATTCGTGACATTCTATTCGTGACATTCTGCTAAACTAAATTTCCTCTAAAGCCACAGTCTGAAAGAATGCAAATTTGGGCCTTTTTTTTCTTCATACTTTGATTCTGAAATGCAGGAACTAATCATATTGCTACATGAAACCAACTTCTTATGCACAACTATCTGAAGAGAACAATTTAAAATACTGCTTGTACTTTCCTCCATTATAGAAGTTGCCAGACTCACTTTATTTCCATACAAAAATAGTGACATTCTAAGTTATTCAGTCATTCTTTTGTAAATAATAGTAAATGGATCATCTGATAGGCAATTCGGATTATTGCTTACAAGTGCCATCAAGTTATAGAGGCATTAAAGTGCTGCAGGAATGAAACAGCTATCACCTCAGTGCTCATGATGTATCCAAAATTCTTGGATATTTTAATAGATTGCAATAGATTTTGTCACTGTAGGTCACTTTCAGAACTCACTGTGCAACAAATCACGTAATTATTTTTTTTACTCTTTCCTACCACTCTTCTCAGATACCAAGGGCATTAATTAAACTGCAATTGCATGCACTTCCTAAAAATTCACAATACTTTCTCCTTCATCCTCTTGTAAGTAGAAATGAATGGTGAAGAAATACTCTTTCAAAGTGAACTTCAGGAAGCAGAGTGAGAATAGTTTGACAAATGCCTGAAATAGTTTAGGAAAAAAAGTCACACGAGTTATTTAAGCATTAAGGTGGTGCCTGTATGTCTGAAGATGTTATGTAGGAAAATCATTATTGGAGTCAACTACTATTTTATTTTTCTCACACCTGCTTAGAGCTTTCTTTTTCTTTTTCCAACTTCAGTTTATCTTTATGTTTAAGAATGTCCATTTGAAACTGAAATCCTGTCCTCTGTTAGGAAATATGGAGGATACAGCCCACTTCAGAAACAATGGTCCTAGCATTTTTTTTGTTTGTTTGTTTGATATGGAAATAGCAAGCCAAGAAGTTCTCTTTTATGCACATGCAATAAAATATGCAAGCCCATCTATAACATAATACATGAACTTTATTTTCTACCTGTCGAACTGCAATGCAATCTAATACTCTTTACATTAGCTATTACTTCTGCAAATTCTCATTTTCTCTGTCAAATGATGCATGAAAACTAGAATCGCTACAGCTTAATGGAATAAGCCTCTTATCAGTGCTATATATCAAAGACACCCTTTTCTGAACATCTAAGGACAGAAGGATAACAGGTCCTAAAACAAGTGCAATGTGCATTTGGAACTTTTGCCTCAGCTGTTTACACTTCCCTCGCTGTTGAAACAGTGGTTGGTGTTAGGCTGTTATTTGTTTTTAGAGGTTTAAATGTTCAGGAAGCCAGCATAGGCTTACAGCTATAAAATGGTGTCAAGAAGGATTTATGTGTTCCCAAGAAACACTGTATTCACCTCTACTACAGAAGTTTGGAAATAAAAAGGAGACAAGGTCACACTCATATTTGAAATACTGTGGCAGGAGAGACAAGAAAAAGGAAAACCAAATTCATAACTACCTTGGCTTGGACTGATGGCTTCTGCATCTCTTCTGATCTTGTGGTAAAGGTAATGCACGGGTATAAAGTAGACAGCATGATTCAAGTTCTGCTCTGGAACACGAGAGGCAAGCAGGTAGGTGGATTTAAGAGTATATGAATGATTGCACCTTGGCTGACTGAAAATCAAATAGAAAATATTCCTAATGTTCTGTAGAGCTGTAAGAACAAAGTAGCCAAATTTCTGCCAGCAGAGATAACCTGCTGCAGACCACGGAATTACTACACTGATGATCACTGAAGATCTCATTCTGCCCTGTTTTCCTATTATTCTTAGAGTGTACACATATACAAAAGGTAATTCATAATCTCTTAGAGCAAAGCATTACCTTATGTCAAACATACTACACTTGTTAAAGTGTTACTCGATTTTTTTTTCTAACGTATTTTTTTCCTCTGGTTAATTTATTATCTTCAACTCACAAAGTCACAGTTCCCACTAATTTCTGAGATCTTTCTACAGCTGTATGAATTTATTCCACAGATTGTGATAATTGAACTAAGTCACGCAGATGACTCTTCATTAATTCTTCATTTTTCTTTGTATTGACTTACATATTGCTCCCACTTTAGAGGGCTTATCCCTTACTTTGATAAAGTTATTCCATCCCTTAAATATCTTATACTCCAGAACAGTTCATTCATATTTCTTCAATCTAACTTTTCAGGCCTTTCTATGATATTGTGCTTAAATGAGATGATTTTCTGTATTTTATCATATTTCAGCAATTTCAAATGAAATCAAAGGAGAAGTTGATTATTTCAAGTGGAATGTAACAAAGTGTGGGATTTGTTCAAAATTATTGGCATTTTTTAAAAGACTGGACAAACATTTGAAAAAGCTCCTGGAGCTGCAGCAGGATGTAGTCATGTAACACTGGAGGAGGGTGTTGATGAGTATTCAGCTCACAGGTGAAGCAGCGTGGGCAAGAACAGGACACAGATGAAAAGGTGCTGACAGATGGCAGGTGTGCTGACTTCTTTCACACATATTGAAGGGGCTGCACTGCTGCATGGGAGGTGCAGAACTGAGAATTCATTCATTCATTCCTTTCTTCATCCATGAAGGTTTTACTGTAATAATTGCTTATTTAAAGTGGAGGTCCAAATGACGTGAAATCTATTTAAATAATTGTGATTATTAAAGGTAAAAAGACCACTGTGCTTGTTATGAAAATAAATCATATGCATACCACACAAACAAAAATGTTTGCTGAAAAGTCAAGACCGTCTCAAATGTTTAATTACACTTTCAAATTCTGTTTCAACATTTGCTGGCACTTATGTCAAAAGCATCATTCTGAGGAGCCTTACCTAAATATGTTGTGACAATGCAATTTATTTCTTGTTTTGGGAAATTCTAATCGTAGTTTGTAGCCAACAAAAATATTCTGCTTCTTTTTGTTCACAGGCTGTTTGTAAACAAATTTAGCTTAAATACTTGGTGAAGATGCTTACCAAATATTTTCAACTAATAATTCCTTTCTGTATAGTTTTTGTAACTACTCAAATTCATATGGTCAAAATTCAGGCAGTTCAGATGTGCCATTCAATTTGCACACTTATGTCTCACTTAGAGCCAGGTTTCTGGAGCAATATGATAATATTCAATTAAAAATCTGCTTTCAGTGTGGTGCATTATTTTCATAAATTCACTGGCTACAATATTGACAGAGTATGCAAAGGAACATAGAGGCAAAGTCAATTTATTTAAACTGTTTACAAGACTACTCTCGGGATTTTGCTGTTATTCCTTTAGAATCACAAGGCAGCCACACATAAATATAATTAAAACAACTTTAGCACTCTTATTATTGATTATTAAAGACATTATCATAGCTACTTGAAGTTTCACATCTATGCAGACATTAACTTAAAAAGCTCTATATCAAATGCTCTCAAAACAAATAAGATGCATGTAGCAGCTTTACTTTAGACAGCACTGAGAACTGTGACCTAGGTACATGAAAACTTGAGTAGGAAAGATCAGTTTACATTCCAATTAATGTCCTAATGGGATTTAGATGAATTCAGGAAAAAGAATACAAAACATGCATGCATATATGCACTCACACACAAATATATATATATATATATACACATATAGATATAAACAAGAACCACTCTAAAAGTTAGGCCTATTTTATTATTTTTGCCCATGATGTCAGAGGTGAATGTTGGTGTTATGACAGTAGACGCTGAATCTTTCCACCAATATTCCCTGACATGTTGCTGCTGTGTGACAGAGGGGCAGTCTGGCAGAATGGCGTCTGACATAGAAATGTGTACGAAACAAAGATGTGTCATTGAATTCCTCCATGTGGAAACAATGGCACCCATTGACATCTGTTGAACATTTCTGGAGACCAAACAGTGGCTGCGAGCACAGTGAGTTTTGCATTTCAGCAGTGGTGACTGTGACAGTGGGTCACCTCTGCTGGTGAAGATGTTTATGATCACAGCAGGCAGGCTCTTGTTCATTGCTGGCAAAAATGTACTGCTACTGGCAGTGACAGCGTTGGAAAATAGCATTTTGTAGCTGAGAATTTTGTCTATCAAATAATGTTATTGTGCTCTTTTTATCTATTGTTATTTCCAGAGAAATAAATAGGAGGTATTACTTTCAGAGCAATACACACACATTTACGTATTGAAATACATGAATAAAATATTATTTAAATCTTACCTATCTGATATATTCATATAAAATATTTAAAATATAAATAAGTTGTGAAAGAATCATATATTACTTTCACTATACATATTTATTCATTAATGTTCCAATTTTTAACAATCTAATGTGTAAATGGAAGAAAGACTGAGTAGAAAAATTGTAGGTAGAAAGAACAGTATGTAGAAATATGCAGTAATATGCAGAAAAAGAAATGTTACATCAGTGCCCCTTGTTATGCTTTGCTAGGCATCTGACAGTTCTGAGAGCAATTAAAATGTTTCTATTAATTTCCAAGATGCTGTTTCAAGCCCATGGGGACCTGCTTCATCTTGTCAGTAGAAATATCCCACAATGGGAACAAGAAATTCTGTCCTTTTCTTGTTATAGATCTTTCTGAGTGTCTGTTAGAATAACAGAGAACTGATTCTTGCTTCACGTACATCAGTTACAAGTATGCCAAGGTGCCATTTTCCTGTTTGGCTTTCCTCACAGAAGACTGGAGAGCAGCTGGGAGAGGTGCCCAGGGAATGCACAGGACCTGCATAAGGATACTCCTCCATTAGTTCCTCCTCTCTAGCAATGATACTGAATTCTTTGATAAACCATTCATCCTTCAGTGAAGCCCTCCTTCTTTTTGTCTTGGAACAACAGTACACAAAGATCTTACAAGCAATTTTTTTCCATTCTAACTGAATAGAACACTCACTGACTCCTAACTTGGGCAGTCAGATAGAACAGAGCAAAGAAAAGCACTAGCAGCAGATGATGCCTGCATAATGCTTTGACAGCAACCACATAGTTTTCACCAAAACCCATTCAAATTTGCCACATGGAATTCTATAAACAGGGAATAGCTTATGATGTTGTTAGCAATGACTTGAGGATGTATTTTTTTTAGGGGCAGTTGTGCAAATGTATTGGTGTGTCCTGTAGTATAAACAAAAATGCCACAAACAAAAAGAATGAAGGGAAGGATAATGTGTGTCTGACCCAACAGCAACAAGCACATCCCATAAGAACTGCTGTAACAATATTGCAGTGTTCAGTTGCAAGGCCATGAGACAAACAGTCCAAGATTTCTAGAAGAATGTGCTACTTTTAGAAGGAAGAAAAGTTTGAAATTATACAGCTTATCTGTATTCCTTCTGAGTGATAGCCAAATAACTGAAATCAGGGGCCAGACATCCTACAGCCTAATCAGAATACAGGACCCACAGATCTCAAGCAGCTGCCTTCCCAGGCAAACTTAAGCTGATAATGCTTTGACAAAGAAATCATCAGAATCATCTCAAAAGACATTTGGCAAGGGCTGACCCTTGGTGAGCCAACCTTTTTAGTGCAATTTATGGAATCAAATCAAGAATCTTCAAAATTGATGATATAAATAAAGTAATTGTACTCAAGAAAATGTCCAGATTCCTGATACAACCAGCACATTAAGCACATCCTCTTTTTTTTTTTTTTTTTTTCCTTTTCTTTTCCAAAGTAATTTTCTGAATGTTAGATTGTTTGCCAGTTTGAGAAGCTCTAAGACAAAGAGCAGAAACAGCTGTACTGGATTTATGTGATTAATTGCAAACACAAAACCAACACTTTATGCAACAGCGTCCAAATGTAATGCATTTACTGTAGAGGATTTGAAAACTCAACATTTACTGATCAAAAAGGCTGAGTGATTACATAACTGAAACAAACCTACCATATTTAAAGATCAATTCTTCTATTATGAAAAATATTTTAAACTTTGTTATTGTATTGAAAATAATGAGTAATTTTCTCTCCTTTTCACACTTACTAATGTCAGCAAATAGCTATAAAACAATGCTCTTTTCAAAAAGAAAGTGAATCTTCACAGGACTTGCTTCCTCTGAAGGTGAACTTGTCTAATCAACTAACAAACACAGTGTGACAAAGCTGCAGCAAGTAAAACATCTACCGCGTTTGCTGGTAAACAAGGAAAACTACTCAAACATACCAGCATGCTCTCTGTGTTAAAACAGCAAAATATCCTATTTCTTTAGGGAAAAGTGCAGAATGATACATATGCCGTCAGTCTGATACACTCTAAGAGAAAAAGCAAGTGTAAAACAGCTATATATTCAGCATACATCAACTGAACAGGCACACACACTGGGAGACTCTACTATTTCTAAAATGATTTTTCTTTTCCTCTTCTGAATATGCACACTCCCCACATCATCTTTGAAGCAGTGGTATTTCAGCATCAGTAAATGTTCCGATGTACAGAACCTGTCTGAAGAAGATGGATTCATTTCTTTATTTCTTTAGGTATAACTGCACCATCCTTATCAGCATGAAAGAAAAATCCTTACTTTCCTCAATACCTCATTACAATGACACTGTAGCAGAGCTACT